TGACAGGGCATTCGACAATCGTTTCTAAGTATCTTTCAAACTCGTTGTATGGTAAGACCTTCACCATATCCAATGCAATGTCCTTATCTGTAAACAACAGCACTTCGTCTTTCGTTAGGATTAAAAATGAAAAGAAGACCGGGTTAAATTCAATATCAAATCCCCTTAAATTCAAAACCCATCCTATTGTATCAAGCTCAGTAATAATGAGGACTTTTCCGTCAACAATATTTCTAATTCTTTTGATCTTATCCTGATAATGCGAGCCTGTTACATTTCCATCGATGTTATTAAACCCAAGTGAGGAAAGATATTCCTTGATGGCTGGATCGTACTCAAGTCCTTCTGACGCATCTGAGAAGTGCAAATAGCTCTTTAAGTTGTATTGCTCTAAGTAGACAATCTCATTAGACAGGCTGTTGTACTGGTCATCCTCAAACTTGATATCAAACTTGAATTCAGTTTCAACGAACTCAATGGAATTTTCAGAGAACGTTTCCATTAGTTTCTTAAATCGAGTTGATGAGATTGTTTTGGTGTCGAAACTGACTTTTTTATACTGTTTTAAAATAATATATGCCGACAATTTGTCTTTAAATAAGGGAAATCTAGATTGATTCTGGGCTTGGATGTAATACCTTGAATCTGTAATTAGACAAGGCTCCTTGCTTATAACAACAGTGCCATTTGAGCCAGAAAAGTTGGAAATTTGAAGTACTCTCATGTCCTTCTTTCGTATGTACTCATTCAGGTGAATGTCAGAATTAAAGATAACGTAGCAATCCAGGCTGTGTTTGTCGATTATTTCCCTGACATATTCTTCCAGTGTTTGATTCATTTTATGGAGAAAACTTTTGCTGAGCAAAGTAAAAATCTTTCTGAGACGAAAAGAGCAGGCTTGTAAGATAATGTGAGAATGAGACTGAAATGCATGTGTAATTTGTAGTAAGTATGACAGATTGATGTTTATGAGTGCTGGTATGTCTTTTGAACAAATCAATCAATTTTTTCGATTTTCTAGTGGCATTTCCAAAAAATGATAGCATTATCAGAAGTGATTGATTAGACTCAAAAGACAGTAAAAAAGCCAATCTATGGTTTGTAAATAATTTATATTTCAAATATCTGTTGTACATAGTTTAAAATATTAATTGATCCGTCTTTAAAGTTAATCATCACTTGAAAATGTCCAACACCATGAATTCCCATCTAATTAACGACACTGTTTAATGATCTATCATCCGGAATATTTGTTCACTGTTTGCTTTGATTCTTGAAGATTATGCTTTGTGGTCTCTAAACTTAATTATCAATTTTTATTTTTTTGACACCAATCTTTTTAACTGCAAAAATTTTTATCCCATTCCATGCAAGCTGCAAGTAAAGAAGTTGTTGGTAATGTAAATGTAGTTGGTGAGACTACGCCTAGCCTTATTGTGGATGATGGACAACAGTTGCCTCAGGATTTCACATCTTTAACAGTTACACAGCCAGATCCTGCTACTATCCAGCCAAGTACTAATGTTAGTGATGTCTTTTCTAATACACCTGCTGACAGTAGCTTAGCCTTGGCCAATGCTGATGACGTTTCAAGAAACATCTCTCTTGATCAATTGGAAACTTCTGGTATTGGCATTGAATCTAGTTCTACAACAGCATCTCAAATCGAAGCGGCTCCTGTGTTAGATAAGCCAGTAGCTGAAAACTCTCCCACTTCCGACATTGTAAATGCTATGCCAAGCGAGTCGACAGATGTGGTAAGCACTGTGAACGAACCAGCAAGTGTAGTAAATACTATGTCAAGCGAATCGACAAATATTGTAAGTACGCAAAGTGAGCCAACAAATGTTATAAGTACATCTCAAGGTGAACCAGTAAGTGTTCCAAGCGCAGAACAAAGTGAACCAGTAAGTTTTGACAAGCCGTCTCTTGTGGAAGAATCTGAGCCTACTAAAGTTCAGCAGGAGTCTTCTGTAAATCCGTCAGATGATGCTGCCCTTACTAGTGGTGATAGCCAGGTTACCCATCAAGAAAATGTTCATCATGTTAGCTCTAATGGTGAAAATAATGATTCTATTAAAGCTACTGAACAGCAGCTACCTACTAATCAAGAAAATATTAAAAGTCTGACTGGCACTACCGATAGTAAGGACGTTTCTACAGAACGTTTAGATGATAAGCCTATGGAAACTGATCCAAATGCAGGGGATCATGCATCTGAAGCGACAGTTAATGTTGAGCATCCTGATCAAAGGAATACTGCAGTGGGGACAGTGAAGCAAAGCGTAAAAAACAACGAGGATACGCCATCCTTGGACGGTCAAACTGATAAACAGGAAAATGGTGGTTCCAGAGATGACAGCTACTTGAATCCTGATGTGCATAATAATGGTGGTGATTCTCATGATGAATTTGAAAACTATCGCACTGAGAATAAGCGTTTACATTTCCGTATGGCTTTACTTACTTGTCTTTTAATTTTGATACTCCTTTATTCATTTGATATTAATGCCATCAAGCAGAGTGTATCTAACTCGTTTGATTATCTCTCTGATTATGTGGCAAGCCTTTTTGGTATACAAAATACTGCTGATGATTCTACCAGTGTTGTCTGCTTTGGTAAGGGAGACAACTTGGATAATGTTTGTGCAAACCCAAATCCTCCTAGCATTTAATGATTAAATTAATTCTTAAGAGAATATTAGTGTTTTATATCTCCTTAGCTTTTGATTATCTCTAACGTATTAACTATCATACAGTCATTATTTAATAACATAAAGTAAATAAAACATTTATTGATCTCTTGAATGTTATTCAGTATCTTCATGTGACTCGGTCGATCCTTTATTTTCGTATGAGTTGATATCCTCATTGTTTGCATTGCTGTCCTCCTCTGTTGCAGAGTATTCAAGGGTTGCACCTTTTGTTTCCATCTCTGTCTTGTTTTTCTCCTCCATCTCTGTTTCAAACTCTGTTTCTGTCATAATATTACTAATATTAGCTTGGTAGCTTTCATCAATGTCCTTTTTATAGAAGAGTTCACCAGCAGTAAGATTGATGGCCTTCTTGAACTTAAGCTCATCACAGTTATTCAAATGCTCTACCTCAACACGAATAACAGTCCACACAGACCGGCGAACTATCTCAGCAACACTCATCAAAATTGGATTTTCGGGTATTGAAACGTCAAAAAGATGTGCGAAGGATAGTGAAATAATCCAATAAAACCTAACCAGAAAATTTGTGCCAGCTGCAAAAATATAAAACATGTACGGGAACATGTATCTGTTTCTAGGTATTACCCAATCAACAAATATATCCCAGCAGAACGATGATGTGGTGCTCATTAGTTTAAAGATGTATTTCAAGAATCTCAAAGTATTATTTGGGTCATCAGTCTGACTTGAAAACTTTTCAAAAGCTTCAAAAAATACAGCCATAAAGATAAGTGTGTATTTTGATGCATTTGCTACGTGTGGAAAAAACAGCCTAGATGAATAGAAACGTCTCATGCATTGTAAAAATCTTACAATTGGAAACAGACTGAATGCCATCAGTGGATATCCCTCTTTGAGCTGAGATTCGCTTAGGAAATGTCCAACGATGATCTCAAAGGGAAATCTAAAACTCTGTAAAATATCAACAAAGTAGAAGTGTCTAAACCTAATTGTAGACATTGGAAGAAGAATTCCCCGTGTGTACACACTGATCAGGTAGATTCTTGAATTTAGATAGAACATATCCAAGGGATTGAAGAGAAATGCCAGTGGAAAGAATAGCTGTAAATAAACTACATAGCTTTCAAAGTCAGATCGAATGAGGAAAAGAAAGCTGTTTAGGAACAGCATTGATGAGATAATCATAAAGTAAATCGAGTTATTAAGAGATGACGCAACATCAAAGTTGAAAATAAACTTATAATTGATTGAAAAGTTTTTAAAGGCTTTGAGACACAGACCAAAAAAAAGGAAGCCAATAAGTATGTTGTTGATTGCTGTCATAAATCTATACTCCTCAGAATTTAAATCGTAAAGCCATGCCGCAATTGTCACGCCTGACCCCACCAATAACCCACTCATCAAATAGAAAACGTCAAGTGTTTTTGTGCCTTTACCGAGTCTTTTGAATATTGTCTTTGCCTTTTCAGGCTGATCTTTTGCAAAAACCTGTTTGTACATCTTCTTTACAGCACTTCGAATGGAATCTATCCTTTTTGATTTATAAAAGTAGGTTTCCTTGAGTTTTTCATTGAATTTGTTGTAAAAAACTTCATTTTTATTTACAGTGGCGTATCTCCTTGCTAATTTCAAAAGACCTGTCGCATTCAAGTCCCTGTACGCCTTAATTTTTACTAAGCTATGGAGAAACTCTGTGATGTGCTTCTCCTTTTTTCGCTTTGTGTAGCCTTTTTGAAGTGGAATCAGGCTAGCAAATCCTTCACTATGAAGCATGGATTTATTTTCATTTCCTGACTCATTCAGTCTTTTACTCCTGAACGTATCGAAATCCATTTCATCCTGGTCATCAAGATCGGTATTACCAACCCCAGTACTAAGATTCGCATCCTCAATGTCAATGTTTCTTATTTGTGTCTTCGGTTCATGTGCACTCTCTATCGGAAACTCTGTTATAATATCACTGAATAGAATGTTCTTCTCGTCTACTGCTTTTCTTTCCAACAGAAAATAGAAACTGTTAATCTTGTTGACTTCGTTGTACAGCATTGTTCTAAAATCCCTATTTTTTATTCGTAACCGAAGCTTGTCATAGTCCAAATAATAATCTTTCCATTCGTTTACAGTATTGCTTTTTAAAGTGGTTGAAAATCCCATTTAGGGGCATTGCCATCCAACAAATTTTTGACATAAAACAAGGAGGATTGTGAATGGTGAGTGAAAAATACCTGCAAGCATCTTTGCATGGCATTACGGTTATAAATGTTAATTGGTAATGTTTATATTAATATAAAATTTTGATATTAAAAATTAAATATCTAATATAAGGAAGGAGTAATTCGTTGTACTGGATGAATGCTAGCTGTGTGGTTAAACTTGTATTTCAGTATTAGTTATTGTATTAATTTTAAAAGATGTCATTTCTAATTTAAACTATAGAATGACATTTTAAACAGACTGGTTATGTGGGCATTTCAAAAAATGATGCTTTTGACGTAATTTGCATCAGTGCTGTTCTGCTATCATTTAGAAAATTATTTGTTTGGATTTATAAATCTATTCTGTTACTATCCCAAATGGTGGAAAATAATCACAAAGAGACCCAAGAAAGTATTGCAGTAGCCCTGGAAAGATTTGACAAGGAATTCCAGAGAATGGAACAAAATTTTGAACTGCTAAATGCACAGTTTCAGAAGATTTCTGTGTTTATAAATGATCAAAGGAAACTATTCAAGAAATGAAAAGATCAGCATTAGACAAAGGAATGCTGCTTTCTGCCTGATTGGTTTGAAATGAATTGCCAATTTAATTAAATATCTTGGATTTTACATTGTCCTACACTTGAACTGCTAAGTAAAGACTATTTATTAAGTTGATTGATTTTTTTAAATATGTCAAAATTTTGATGGTGAAATCTAACAGCATCCAAGTATTTAAACCATTCATAAATGTTTTCTAGTCTGAGAACTGAGGGGTAGATTTTCTCTTTTTCAAACACTTCTTTGTCACTCTCATTAATTTCAATCTTTTCAGCCCCCTGTTCAGACCTTTTTGTATTAAAGTCTTCAAAAAATATGTGGTTTAAAAATAAATACTGGGAAGGGCATTTTGGTATGTGAACATCCTCCTTGGAGAGGGCCTTTTCAAAGTTGGCTTGATAATTGTTTCTGGCATATCTGCAATTTAAAACTGCAAACGAAATCATCTTTCTAATTTGATGCAGTAAAAAGCTCTGTCCATGAATTTTAATTTCAATATATTCAACATCACTGTCTAAAAATGGCTCTGATACCGTTATTTGTTTTATAAATCTCTGTGCACTCCCTTCTGTTCTTTTCAATGTAAAATTGTGGTAGTTTTTTGTTCCAACATAACAGTTCATCATTTTTGTGAACAAATCGATTGAATCAGATTTGCATCCTCGTACTTTGTCCAACTCGCTTTTGCTGTACGTCCTAGCTGGCTTTGCCTTTTCTTCAGAACAGTCATCCGAACTCTCTTCATTGTTGTCATTTGCTGCTTTATCTTTGATTTCAAGATTTTTACACTCCTCTTCAAAATTGCTGTCTTGGAGGACATATGTAGGAAGAACATATTTGTAAATGCGACTTCTTGCGCATTTATGCCCTAAAAACCGTTTCGGAAGTTTGATCAGCTTATAAAGGATCATTCCCTTATCTAAGAATTCTCTTTTCAGAATTTCAAACAGCTCCAATGTGGGTTCTTGTATTATTTTAACTGATACTACGTTAAAAGATGCGTGTACGCCCTTGTCTGTTCTTGAACATGACTTCAAGTCGATCTTTTGTGGGTCCTTTGAATTTATTTCCGTTATGCATTCATTTCTTAGAAGAATGTCTATTATTTCTTTCTCTATAGTCTTTAAGTCGTTATTATACTGAAGACCGTGGTATCCTTCGCCATTATATCCAATTATCAATCCGACCTTTCTTTTCATGAAGAAGGGCTGTGTTCTAAAATTTTCTGAACATTTCAAGTACTGTGAAGAAAGTTTTTATGCTAATACGCTTTATTTAAATTAAATAATAACAATGATTTCGTCATATTTCCAATAAAAATATATTTAAAAGCTTTTATCTCAATTTAATAAAAATATCAAATAGACTGTCCAAATTCAACTCAAAAGAGCTTGCTGCATAAGGTATTTCAAACTTCTGGCAAATACTGGGATGTAAAACACCAATACTACCTATCATTTTTCCATCAACTTCAACCATTGCTGCCTGATTTTCCAAATACCTATAATCAGAAAAGGCTATGTATTTATACTCTTTTATTCCACATTTTCCAAGTAACAAGCTCAATGGTCCTTGGACATCTTCTAATAGACTTTTGTTTGAAGCTATTACCGCACACAATCTTCTCTCATTTCTAGCACCCTCATTATTTGTACTATCAAGAAGTACAACGTCAGCAACTTCAAAAACCTTGATTGGAATTTTACCGTGAAGATTTGAAGAAATTGATTTCAAAACTCCAGGCAATAAGGATGTTCTAACAACTTCATATTCCTTTGATTTTGGATTAGAAAGAACAGCTGCAAGGTCAGAATCAATAATATTCTCATTTCTTGAAAGAAGTGTAAGGGTTAGAACTTCATTGTATCCACTAAGTGCCATCTCAACTCTAAGCTTGTCTGAAAATTTATTTTCGGGTGTCTCCTTTCCAACCGTGCATATTTCAGGAAGTTTAAGATCAAAGTTGTTGAAACCATAGGCTATGGCTATATCTTCCAAAATATCACATTCGTGGAGTATATCAGATCTCGCATCAGGAACTAAAATACTTATGCTTCTATCGGTAACATCTACTTTATACATCATCCTTTCAAGAAGATCTTTGATTTGTTGAGCTGATAAGCTTAAATGTAATTTTTCATTGACTTTGTCAATATTGATTGAATACTTATAATTGTTGAAAACAGGTGTGGAAATTTCTGTATTATCTTCAGCATTGCATATTTTAACCTTTTCCACCACTTTTCCTCTGAAATTATACAATAAATGTTTTAAAACCGTGTTCACCTTGTTGAAATCACTGCCTGTAACATCTACAAAGATGTCTGTCGTTTCAGGTGAGATCTTTGTGGCTTCAGAGTTTATAATTGGAGGTAAAGACATAACACACTCTCCGCACTTGAACATAACAGCACGACTTTTATCACTCAAAAGACCAAAGTATTTTGAAATTTGCTTATCCTTTGAAAAGTGTTTCTCCAAATCCATCCCATTTATCATTTTGCATTTTTCAGCATTTCCCAATTGCAAAGGTATGAAATTTACTTGACTTAGATCGGCGCTTTGATAAGTAACTTCACCTTTAATTTTTGATAAATCATGTGTTCCAATTGCAACAAGAGACCTGTTTCTGCCTATTGAACTATGAAGCTTTGACTGGTAGCTTATGAAACTTGCATAGCTATCTTTGGTAAATTTGATTCCCTTGATTATAGCACAAGCTATGAAAGGTCTTTCATGTGTCTTGTATTTTTTAACCTTGATGGTTGGTTCAACAACTGTAACGTCCTTAAATCGTTCTAGATTTAAATATGCTCGCAGAGCCGTTGAAAATCCTTCTAGACAAAGAAGATCGTATCGATTTGCTGGAATGTCAAACTTCAACATTTTCCTGCCATTTTCTTCATAAATTTCATCTAATTCTACTCCAAAATCAAAGGTCAGATCTTCGATCTCATTGTCACTAAGATCTTTTCCCAGTGATTCTACGAACAAAATTCTGTCGACAGATAATGAAGGCATTTTGGGCTAAAAACAAAAGTTTTACAAATTCAAAAGAAAATAAAAGTATATTTTCAGTCAGAGACTTATTTAGTTAACACAAAGCTTTGTGCAAAGATTGTTCTATTTGAAAACTCTGTGTGCAATTGAATATTTTCTATAAAACCATAAGAAGCTTGATCTGGACTATTGAAAACCCTGTTGAAACGTAAGTAACAAGGTTTAATTTTGAAAATTTTAATCAAAGACATTAACTGATTACTCTTCGTGTACAAAGCTTGGTTTTCGATAGTATTTATGCGATACACTCACACCCTGCGTCTTCTTGTTAATTAATATCGTTTTTATATTTGTGAAACAAAAATAGTATTTTCCCCATAAGATACTACAATACAATCAATTATTGTTCCTGTTTTAACCTTATCACACATGTATACCTCCTCTCCAATAGCGCTCCCTTTTATAATAGCCTTGTAGTCAACAAGCACTTCGATGTTATCTGCTTCGACTATTTTTAGTATTGCATACGCAAAAGATGACTTTGTTACTAAGCATTTGACTCTCAAACCAATTTCTGGATATTTAAAAGGGATGTGTCCTTTTTTGTCATCCATTTTGCTTTCCATTGATAGGGCGTAGAAAGGCAGAGTATCTTTGGTAAAAGAATAATATTTATCTATGGTTTATCATTGAACATTTGTATGGTGCAAATCTTATCTCTCATTGACTAAACTTAATGATTTTACATATTTATTTAGGAGACGAATGCTTCCTTTATTACCATTTTTATTGTATACATCCTTTACTGTTCAGACTGCTCATTCAATTGATTTCTTCTTTTAAAAAGAAAAATTTTTGTATCCATTTTAGATGCAGATTATACAACAGTTTCTCACTGCAATAACTGAGGAAAATACAGACACAACCAATAGCTCAGCACAGAAAATGATTAAAGAACTTGTGGGATCAATAAAAAATAACAAATCAAAAAGAGTTGAAGGAAGTTTAATATTTGAAATCAATCCTTCTTTATATATTTTACCAAAATCAATAAACGAAGAAAAAGAAAGTACCAAATGGGAAAGCTTTGCAAGAGAAAAAGGAATTAAAAAGAAGAAGAGATCGAGAATGGTTTTTTCTGAAAAATTCAATAAGTGGTTACCGAGGTATGGAAGCAGAAGTGAGCAGAACCTTATTTTACAGGGTGGCGTTGTTGAGGTTAAGCAAAGCATGTCTAAAATGATAAATGAAAAAAGAAAGAGAGCAAAGAAGAATAAAGAAAATGCAGAGAAAAACAAGAATAAGCATCACTGAAACATTTGATAGAATAATTCTGATTTATATTATATTAAAAATTGCTTGATTGAATTATAGCCCAAATAGAATGTTTTATATTTGGTTGTTTTATACTAAAGATAGGCCAGTGCCTTATGTAGCCATCTTTTTAAAAATAACGATAATATTTGATTAAGCATCAATAATGCTAAGATTGAACTCTTGACAAAAAGTTCCCAGTCGGGGAATCGAACCCCGGCCCCCAGAGTGAAAATCTGGGATCCTAACCACTGGACCAACCGGGATATTAGGAGGAACAGTAATATTTGTATAATTGTTTTTAATTCGTTTATAATTATGCGATTCCTGATTGTAAAGATTTGTGTAAATATTTGTGCTGGGCTTTTGATGCATAAAAGTCATCGTTTCATTATATTTTTTATTTAAAGCGTTTAATCTAACTGAAAAATTCTCCCCAATGAATTTTGGAGAGGATGCTGTAGTACTCAAAAACTTATCTAAAGAAAATCAATCTATACCAAAGAATAAAACGCTTATAAAGGCAATTGAGAACTCGGATATATCTTTTCTTCAGGAATTACTTGTTTCAGATTCACGATTTGAGGACATAAGCGGACTATCCAAATTTTATAAATGCAAACTTTTACCATTACTTACAGAATTTTTGGATCAGCCATTAAGACTTGAAGCAATACAATGCATATATGAAATAATGACTGATACAGGAAATATTGATGCGTTTAGCAAAACTTTAATTGATCGATCAGTAGATTTTAATAAACTGGTCTTTCTCAAAGGAAAAATAGATTATTTGAAGTATCTTCAAAGATCTAAAGCTGAAAATAAGGCTGAAAATGAGCATGTTGAACAGAATCAATAGAATGTGGTGTTATTTAATGAATTAATTCCTTATCACTTTTATATTAAAATAATTTTTACAAACTAAGCATACAGTAATGTACTGGTCAAGTATATTTTTATATTAAGTACTAAAAATGATTAAGCTTTGAAACATTTGTTTTAATCCATTTTGTTCGAAACACTTGTTATAAACTCTGAACTCTGATTGGAACATGCGTTTCAAAATGTATTTAAATAAAAAATAGTAAAAATCAACAATGGCTAATAATACTGCAAATGAAACCCAAGGTGAAAACTCCGGATCGTCTGGAAAAAAGACTATATTTTACATTATTGGAGCAATCGTTGCTGTGGCTCTAGTAATAGGAATAATTTATCTTGTTGTGACCAATAGTGGCGATAAACCAAAGACCGAGTTACACGGCTCATATGATAGCAAGGTTAATCTTATTGATCCTAATGCACAGGGAAAGTTCATTAATTCTGCTTTTGTACAGCATTAAATAATACTTACATCAATCATTATTGAAAATGTTGTTCTTAAAAATTTATTCTGGGTCTTGGTTTTGATGCTGTTCCATAATGAAATGGCTTATTGTTTATAACCGTTTCAGGTTCGTTTGAACAATTAAACAATAATCCTCGGATAAAAAGCTAAGTTGTAGAATATATTGATAAAACTAGCATTATTGATCCTAAAATAATATTATATGGCTTTGTTTTATATATCTTTAGTGTTGTGTCTCTCTGATGGATTTTTCTTTCTGGCTACAAGCTTATCTTCATTTGCTAATTGTTGCCATTTATACTTTTCTTCGATAGCCAAGTTATTCCAAACATCCCCCATTTTTAAAGCTAATTCAAAACTGTCAAGTTCTAAGATCTCAACTGAAACGTTGTTTTTCAGATAATAATTCATCCATAAAATAAAGGCGGTTTTTACTATCGGTTTTGGTTTCTTTACTTGAATATACTGTTTAGAAAATCCTTCAAATGGTGTTATGCTATATCTTTTTTGATATAAATTTACATATTTCTGTTTACAGTCTTCTGGAAGTTGTTTGAATAAAAAATACCGCAGAATGGAATCAGAAACTTGATTCGTAATGCCCAAATAACATTCTTTTGAATTTATTATATTTAAAAATCTTGATTTATCTTTTTTCCACTCTGGATTGTTTTCAAAATCCTTCCATCGTCTGTGTGATAAAAACAGTTTCCATAATTTTTGAAAGTTATACGCTTCATTGAAATGCTCCTTCAATCTTTTCAGAACTTTTTCGTCTCTTGGATGTTTTATTCGTGATATAAACATTCCAAATGGCCCTTTGTACTTAAATTTCTTGAAATTTTTATATGCTGCGATGGAAGCTTTCTTGAACATTTTAGGGCAAAAAATTGGAAACTGTTAAGAGAAATCAATCCAAATGGCACATTGAAATTACAATGCACTATTATTGTAGTAACTAAAAAACTTGCTAAGCTATAAAATGAGCTTTATTTTTCAAGAACAATGCTGTATGCTGTTGTCCAGCATAATTGTATTAGGATGTGATTAGTTCTTATGATTTTTTGACCTATCAATACATTTGATGTGTTTAATGCACAATCAACAACTTATTAAAAAATATTTTTCAATAGTAAAGTATTATTTTGTAACAATACTTTGGAGACTATGTCTTGTTAGCCAAGCCATGCTCACAGCCTTATTCATATTATATGAAATCGTATGTAGTTAAATGATTAAGAATTGCTTAAACATTAGCCAATGTAATGTTATTAAGAATTAGAATGGTGTTTGCACAATAATACTGTTTTAAAAATTGCCGATATAATTTGTGCCTAGTACATAGGCACTGAGTGATATTGCTTTCAATATCACAAAAAAATATAAGTGAAAAAGATATAATTGGTTTATGGTAACAACTCTTAAATAAAAGAATAAAATACATACAAATAATTTTGTTAAATAAATTAGCATCTTTTAGTGCCGCCCCTAATTTAAAATGAAATGGTAAAACTATTAAGTTTTCCGTGACAAGAATAACTCATTTGCACAGTGATTTTATTGAACAAGATATCTCGAATAATAATTTTACATACATTTTGAGATAGCATGATGTCAAATCAAGCTAAGGCAATTTGGCTAGCATATTTTTATTATCATTGTCAAATCAAACATCTGTATTTATAATAACAGAATATGTCAGGGTCTGCTCCTATTATTTTGCAATTAAATATATATTTAAAATAAATCTTTAAAGTGTAGAAACAAAGCAATGCCCAAGAAAAACCAGTAGTTGATTTGTATGGTACCACTTACTCAATAGTAGTTATAAGTCTTGGTATAAATTGGCCATTTGGGTTATGCTATTGCCAGCTCTCCCCAAATGTGTTTGGTTTGATAGTCATGTCAATTTTAGAATTGTGCATAATTTGATACTCAGAATATAATTTAACCACACATACCCAATTATATCTATGTCTAAATTTTTAAATTCCAATTTATTAAAAGACAAGTCTAATATCATTTTGAATCCAAAGCAGAATGAGTTTCTTAAAGATGTGCTGCATGGTACTTCCACTCCTATCCTTTCAGTAATTACAACCCCACAAACTTCCTTGCCACTTACACATCTCCATATTGGGATGCTTTCCTCACAATGCCCGTCAGTTTTTATAGTGCAATTCTATCACATCTCTTTCTAACATCGCATATTCATTTACGACTCATAAACATTGCCGTTGTTTATCGAATTACATAGTGCTCCTTCAAAACACTTTTAGATTGATTTGATACTGCCAGCAGGTCTTATACTCCTTTCAAGCTATTAGCTTTAGAAATTAAGTGTTTTCTAGACGAAGAAGGCGTCATATTCTAGACATTTCGAATTCACAAATACAATGATTTAGACGATTCTTGGGCACTAACTTTTTTGACAGTGCGGATCAATTTCTTTTTCAATTACAACTAGGCATCTATTGACTGAAGCAATCATCTTATTGGTAGTTTGTATAATGATCTGAAAAAAGATGCTATTTTGATCATTTGTTTAAAAATCTTTGATTTAATATTTGTGGATAGTTGAGATAACGAATACTTGCTATTTGAATCACAAGCTATATTCGTTAAAGTGTAATGCCATTTCAACTTCTGAAAGGAGTGATGAATTTGACATTATGTTGTCCTTCTTTTATTAAATATTCATTATTTTTTGTTTACCATAATCTAAGTTATAAAAATATATTTATACAAAATGATTATAAAAGTTAAAATTTTTAAGAACTAGAACAATTGAAATTTTTACATAATATCCAAGAATGAATATAGCAGATTGTTAAGGTAAATAATTATAAAAAAGACTAAGCTTGGCTCAATTCCATTTTCGAAATGAAATTTTTCATTATTTTCAAGAAAGTTGGCATGAACATTGTTTCAAAGACTTTTAAGTTAAAGTTCGAATTTTTTCAATATATAACTCTAAAAATTTTAAATGATTTAACTATTAAATGAAGAAATTACCCCATTGACAGCATAATATTCAATTTAATTCTCAGCCTTTAGAGAAATAAAAGTTTTTTATTAACTGATAATTGTGATTATCATAAGATGTAAAGTTACTACGTTATGGAATGTGCTTAAGAAGAAATAATTCAGAAAAGTAGAGAAATATGGAAATGTGTCATTGAGAATCATACTATTGGGATGGATTAATTTCATCTTAAGAAATATAGTGCACTGATCAACTAAAAAAGCAAAAACGATTGCATTGATGCTTAAGTTGCTAAATAGGTTTCAAGCAATGGATGACTTGGTGGACTTAAGGTTTATTATAATTTGAAATTAAGAGAAATCATTGAAAATCCGCAAGGTCTAGAATTAGGAAAAAATTAAATACATTAATCTTAAAAATATATGATATAGTCTACACGTATGCCTTATTATTTTCTTACACAAACAATTTTATGAAATAACGTAATAAATTCTGATCGAGTCCACATGGTATCTTAATATTTTGCCACAATGTTAGCTATTCTGATAAAGGAAGATATTTAAGATAGAAAAGTCCATATCGCAAGAAACAACAAAGGTTTGCAACTTCGAAAATTACATAAACGTACAACCATATAAACACGAAATATGCAGGAATTGTAGTACTTGCCTAATCATGAGCATGTAGATGGAACTTTCCAAGTTTTTAATGGATTGTGTCGATATAATATAGATGAAATGACTGGGCAAGTTTATTTTAATTCAAATAATAATGCAATGTACGAAATTTATAACAAATAGCATTGAAAATGAAACATAAAAGACGAGTTGCTATTTGGCCATTATCAATTCAAAATAAAATTGGCCGCCAGTTCAAATAGACACACAGCTTCATCTATATTAGATGGAAAACTAGCAATAAAATATAATATGAGTATTTGTTGTGTTTTACATGTTTATGCTTTTAGATACGATTGGTTTTATTCTAAAATCTTTTTTCCCAACCTGATGCCTGCGCCAATTCCCCATCCCAAATGTATGCAGTCCAAAGACTTATCATTAACTTGGTCTACTCTGTTGGCACATGCTAAAAAGACCTTTTTGGAATTTTGAAATATCGCAAGCAATGTGCATTAAAGTCTAAAATAAAATGCTGTTTTGATGGTACTTCAGTCTTTGAATGCAAGCATTTGAAAATTAAGAAACTTCAAAATATCAAGTTAAAGAGCTAGGCTTTTATATTATATATTGAATTTCACAAATATTTCCCCTTTACATTATTTTAAACAATGCTCGATGATACTTTGATGTTGGGCATATTTATACTTCTTGATATAGTGTGAATCTGATGAACTTAACTACAGCAGATTAAATTATATAAGCCCAAAAAACCATGAAAAGTTTAAATTTAGAGAAATATACATTAATATTATAAAAATTCATCGCGATATTTACTATATAGCTTAGTGTTTTGAATTTAAAAAATAGTGGGAATGAGACGTTATTAATGCATTATTCAAGTGCTAAAACGTAAATTATTAAGGATTTTCAAAGCTATTCGGTGGAACTCAATAAATTGTATATAAATAATAAGAGAAGTGTTCTTAATACCACAAGCTTATTAAATTATCCAATAGTTTCAATATGTTTTTTATCAAATACAAAAAATGCACGCCTGACACTTAATATTGAAATGATAAAATTGTTTAAAACTAGTACCCTTCAGCTCAAAAAATTGTAAATAAATAGGAGAGTAGCACCGTTAAATTTAAAAGTATCATTGGAAATTTACATTTATGCAAAGATGCATAGGATATACGATCTCTGATAAATAATTAATGGTCGACACACTGGACTATTATAAAATGTTTATATCAACTAAGTCAATGACAATATGAGCTCGGCCATCATAAATCGTAATTGATAGGCTGAAAGTTAATATTAATACTATTTATAAAACATAGCCAGATAACCAAATTATCATCTTAATATTAAATAACGAAAATATATCCAAAAAATTTAGAAATCAAAAATATGTAGAAAAGCACAACAGCAATAACCTCAAATAAAATGATAAATCAATGACAAATTACACCGTTAATTAAGTAATGAAACGAATGAAAACAAACGCCAATCAAAAACGTTTTGTATGTTCTCAATTACATATTTGACACATATTCTTTGATGGAAGTGACATAATTTGCTAACCAAGTAAATCACTCTTTTAAATAAATTAAAGCTTATGGCGTCAAGTGTTATAAACAAAATTGAGACTTTAACCTAATTTAAAGCAGCTAAAATTTATACTATAAAGTTATGGAAATAAGATGAAATATGTGCCTTTTATTTTAGTGTTATAAAATTTGAAAGTGTTGTTTATTTTATATAAACAAAACTCAATGAGATCTACAAATAACCAATATAATTGATTGTAACCATCATACTTCACTTATTTTAGCACCTCTTATATTTGGCCCAAATTTCTTCAACTTAGCAGCATGGCTTGAAATATTTAGCCCCAACACAAAGTCATTTTAATACAATACAATCCTTAGAGATCGCAACATCATTGTCAAAATTAATTCAAAAAACCAAGTATGCCAAAGATATAGTTACGTCAAGCTGATTTTTCAAATTTGTTTATAAAATTAAAACAATAAAAGACAAGTAGTATATAAAATAAATTGCAGTTCTTACAAACTATATCCATATCGATTATTGAAAATTTTTGTATCCATTTAGCACCACCAACTATTATTTTGGTTGTAAAATAATAAAATATTTTTATAGGTGTTGTACTCGAAGCCTCCCTCCTAACATTTAAAATTCAGGAGAATATAATTCAAATTATATTATAGCATTATTATTCAGTGTATATTTTTAATTACATTGGATAGTCTTAATATATTCTAAAATTTTAGCATATATTAATTAAACTTGGTATCTGTTTTTAAAGTTACGATAAACTTATTGCTCATGTAGCATATTATATTAATCTATAGGAAATGACAATTATTCTTACGCTTTTACACAAGCATGATAGGAATTCATTTTTATTATAGTTGGTGTTGAATTATAGAGCATCAAGTTCTAATCAAGTCCTGCTCCGCTTTGAACCATATAATACATTCATGGTTGAACCGTCTCGGTTCAAAATGGACAACCTTTTTATTGTTGTTAGAGGTTAAAAATTTTTAGTAAAAATGAAGCTTTATATGTATAGAATAATTTTGGCATCACAGTACATTTTCATATCTTACGATTTTTCTATATTACCAACAAATGTTCTTATCCTTTATTTACTTAATTGATGGAATTGCTGTTATTTTTATCTATATAAAACCAATAGAGTGCATAATGACATATCTACCGCCAATCATATCAGCATATTAAATTTTATGATTGTTAAAGTAAATGGTATTTGGTTTATGGAATCTTTAATCAAACTGTTATTTGGAAGCGTTTCCGGAGAATAATGTTTAATCATGCAATCAGATTATTGGATAGTGAAATAAAAAATTGATAATTTTTCAAAATAAAAGTCATTTGGGCATAAAGCTAGCATTTACTATTTACTCCAAACAAATATTATTATCATCATGTAAGAAACCACATAACATAAAATGAATATACTCGCGATTCCACTTTCACGATATCTACCTTTATCGGTGTTTAGTACACAAAAAAATAAGATTTTATGTAGATTATGTCATGGGCTCAATATCAAGCATAGAAAATATACCAGGCAATTATTAGCTAAATCGGTTGACAATCAACCACAATATTGCTGGCATCAAGAACCATATTCAAGCGTGCTAGTCTTCTCATTCAAAACCTCTATTTGCTTCGATGAGACTAAATATTTTAGGTGTGAATGGAACAAATTCAACAACGTGTAGGTTTACAAAACTCTGGCTCGTTAGTTGAATTCATCTACAATTCTAGTCATCTAAAATCATTGTTGATAGGCATGCGGAGATATTTAATAATTAGAAGCAAAAGCTGTGTGGTTTAGAACAGCAATGACTAATCATCATAATCTATAAGTTTGACCATTTTTAATAAAATACTTCTCCGATAGCTTAGGTTCATCAAATTGACCTTTCTATCAATTTTTGTAAAATTTGCATTAAATTTTTAGTCTATATGCTTTAGAACGTGTAGCACCATAGATTCTGATGCTTTGGAAATTTACACCAATATTTCTTGCAACCTCATTATATCAACAATAACACTTAAAGTTTATTTCTTAGATCATTACGGCATATATCAAAATAATCATAATGGTTGTTACGACTTTTATTTTATTACACAGCTTAGATACCCATTTTCATCCAAATTCATCTGTAATATAGTGCTTGAACAAATTTATTCACAAGAACGTACCAGTTAAATGATACAATACTCCAATCAAAAAACATATGACCTAAAATACTTTAGTTGCTTTAGAGAATAAAACTTTTATGTGATCTATTGGCCACAGTATTCCGCATTTTGAATGCATAAATGTTGTTAAATTTTATAAATAATACGTGGAATTCAGCAACTGTGTATAAAATCAACTTGTTCATACGTATTTTTAATTCAAAATTATATTTAAACGACAACTCCCTAAGTAAATATAAATGCTTTACATATAATAAACATCAAACTATTCATAATATTAGCATAATGGACGCTATTTATTTTCATAGGTATTTTATTGTGTCTAAATATCACTATGTTTTCGAATATATTTCAATTAAAATCTCCAGGTTAATATCACAATTTCCACAGAAGTTTTATTGTCGTATTTTACAGTATCTGCAATGGTTGCTTCATTCAAAAGTAAAAGTCCCCGGGTATAAACAAGTAAAATGATTGAAATGTGATAAAAATTAAAATTATTGTCAAATGACTATGCTATTATACTTGTTCGCCATACAACAATACATCTAATAACAGCCAAGCATAAAAGAAATTCAAAACTTATCTTCTCAATGAGTTAAACACAACTCAAGAAATATAACTTTATAGTTCATTAAATAATTTCTAAAATGTATCGTATGATTGTCTCTAATAAAAGAATGAGTTAATAAACAATACACAATAGACTATCTGCGTCAGAATACATCTCAATATGTAGTCAAATGTTATGGAATGAGTCTAAAAAGAATAATACCACCACTGACCATCTCTAATTTCAAGCCTATTTTATCTATGAATATGATGTATTTCAAAACATAGTCTGTTATATGCCTCATTCTCTTTAAAGCTTTATGGCGTTGTGATATTCTAATAAGTACACTAAAATTTACACATTTCCATTTGCAATATATTTCGACGATTTGATTCTATGCGGTCAGAACATGATTACCTAGAAATATCCTTTAGCATTGGTAATTTTTCAACTTTCAAACACAAAGGAATCCCATATTTCCTACCACATTACTAGCATTTTGCCAGTGACTTCATAGACTAGTGTAGTTATCAATAATACTTTTTGATGCACTCTTCTGTTTTTGTTTGTAAAGAAAATCCTGTTTTAATTAGAAAAGAATCTTCCGACTCTTGTTTAAGACAATTTTGCCATTAGATTAAAGATTTTGCATTTAAACATGATCAAGAAAATGTGGTAGAAGTTTTTTGATAAAAGTAAAAAATTGGGCATTTCGTGATTAATGTTGTTTTGTATAATATTCAGTGAAGAAAATTTACAGAAACCTATTGATCAAATTTGAATCTGTTTTTTGAATGCAAAGCATATTGATGAGTATTGTTGGAATTATCCGAATATGTATTATATGAAGCTTGGTGCTATGAAATATAGAGAATTCTGAGTGATTAATTTTTGAATATTGATATATTTTGTTCCTCGATACTGAAGACACAATAAGTCAATTGTATTGATAACATTAGAATTAACTAATCGATCGATATTCATGTAAAAACAAAGGAAATGATCAATAACTGCATGGTTTCTGAACATGTTTGTTTTGTAAGCCTAAAAATCGATCTAGTTGATTCCTTTTGTATAAATTAAAAGTACATTGTGACGAAATACTTTGTATTCCATATAGATTCGTGGGGAAGTTGCACTTAAAGCAACCAAAATTTTACATTTAAGAGTTTCTATCCCATATACTCTTTGTAATAATTTCAAAAACAGCCAATTATGCTGATTGTGAGAAATCGGATATTCAAGAATATTGTCAATTGAAATTTGTATGCAGAATGTCCATTATAAATTTTATTGATCTTGGAATGGGTATAAAATAAATTGAAAATGTCACCCCCAATATTTGCGTTTATGCTGGAAATATATACTAAAACAGTGCATCTCCGACCTTTATCCGCTAACAATAGTATTAAATGTTGAATTCATATTTCGTACTCTACTATGTTTAGGGCAGATGTTGGCGTGTAATGAGTAGCATATTGCGGATATTAATATATTTTTATGCAAAAAATGTGTCATATGAGCTCTCATCGAATTGGGAAAGAAAAGATTTCAAAAGACAATTAGCTAACATTTAAAAATTAAAGAGAGTTAAGAACATTATTATAAAATCATTGTATTTATTGATTGTTAATTCCTTCCGCTTATTTTCTTTGAGGTATTTCTTTATTAAACCAAAACTTAATAAACATATCAAACATTAATTTACTGGAGTAAAAATTTCGTTATCAAATATTTTCACCATAATATTAAAAGAAATTAGAAAATCAAAAAATTGTCAAACAACATCATATCAAATATTCTTAAGAAATATAAAAGAAAATTTTTACAAAGAGCCATTTTTGTTCTTTATGGAAACTTCGCAGTGGTTTTGGATTAAGTATCATTGAAATTACATACGATAATCTAGCAAATATGGATATGGGTATGCTTTATAAATATAATAATGAAGTAAAATCCACACCTATTTATTCAAACATGTAATATTTATTGAAATAATAATTTTTAACATGGCAAATAATTACATATCACATGAAATATTACAAAAATTATTTAAAAAATTTACATGTGTTAAAAGTTTCACAAGCATAAAAATTTTTGATGCAAAAGTGAAAGAATTGTGTAAAAATAAAGTTGCAATTTACTTATATACGTGAAAGGTTCAAGCATCTTAGAATCAGATCGAAAGCTTTTTAATCTTTAACAAGAACTATAAATAAGGTACTTGTTATTAACATTATTGATAAGATTATATCAATATAATACATGATGATATTTATTATTGTGTTGTCAAAAATAATTTTGTAAAGACTTTAAAGTGAGTGAAAGCCAATATTGCATGAATTAATTAGCAAAAAATAAAAATGAACCTGGAATATATTAGTTTGCCTGCATGCCAAATGTAAATATAATTGGCTTAAATTCAGCTTATATTTGCTAAATAATTTATTATAAAAATTAATTTTGCATAGTTGATATTGGCATGATTTTTATATCATACAAACGATCTATGTAAAAAATTTTAAATATACATGTATGTTCCTGAAGTTGATGAACATTAAAACAATATAATTATAAAATCTCTACAGAGATATTATAAAATATGGGTAGCCGCATAAGCTATTTTCCACTTATTTATTTCAAATAGCATTTGTGAATAAAATAAACTCTTGTATATAGCTAAGTATAGTATATTATTTCGATACCACTGATAGAACTATGGACTAGTCGAATTCCATTTTAATATACAAGATGTATTAAATAACTATTTTATAAAAGTCAAACCAAAGCACTCTTTACTTTAACTTGTAATTTGTATTGAGTATGATATAATAGTATTTTATTCTGAAAATTCCATATTTATTTTTAAACCGCATACACATTAATGTATGAAATCTATATGATCTTGACTAAATCCGAGCAATATAAGCAACCACCTTTCATTTATTTTCGGTTTTGGAATGACATTGTAGATACTAGAGATCTAATTTATATTCTCAAGGATAATTTGAAATTTTAATCTAATTCTATTATTGCTTACAAATTTTTAAACTTTAAATCCTCTAAATTTAGCGCGTTTTCAATCGTCATTTTCATGCACCATTAATATTAATATGTCTTAGCAAGTGAGATCCAATTTAAGTATGGCAATATTTGATGAGTTACCAGAACAACTTCATTTTATGAACACGTTACTGAAATTACTAGGAGACTTTCAGGCTCTTTTTACAAGCAATTACATTTGATTTCACAATATTTTCCTTTATTCGTAAATATTGTAAATAAAATAACATCGTGAAAATGAATCCTCTTATTAGATTATATAAATGTTTGGCTTGATTCACTTTGATTTTAATTAATCGTCATCTCAACTGCGATGAGTGATCAGTTTAAATTTCAATAACCAATCTGGCCGTGCTAAACATTGTTGTATTGGTTTGTGGAAATTTTTATTATATAATATGCAATAAAATATAAATATTGTTCCTAGACACTTTTATCTCAAAAGATTTAATGTTATGTGGAATTTGATCATTTAATTAAAAAGAGCAAGAGTTTTGAATCAAATGATCAATGCGATATCAGAATAAACATAATAGCTAGAAGTATAGAAATTTTCAAGTCCATATTCCCATTAAATACACAATAGTTTATTCAAAGTTGAATATTTTTGTTATATGTATTTCAACGATACCAAATAATTTTTATATGAAAGCTGCTGACAAATGCCAATCAACATATAATTGTCGGTAGAATATGATGGATCTTGAATATAATGTTCATTTAATGAATAAGCTAATATTAAGAATGTGGGTGGTTTTGTGATGACATCTTAGTTATTCTTGATTTTCTGAACTTACATTGTGGTGTTCATTTAAAAATAGCATTATGCTGAGGTCTTCAAGATATAAAAGCACGAATGAATTTTGAGAAAATTTCTTTCAATCAAACTTTATCAATACACGACGATATATTTATGTAAATTAAACTACTTAGCTTATGTTTAATAATATTTTTAAAATAGCAAATTGATGCATTTTAAATGTTCATATATTGTTAACCACCTATCTATATTTAATGCTTAATAATCTATAAAATGTATACAAGCATTTTTAAATTAGACAAACAATCCAGTATCTTTAGCGATGGAGAAGAGAAAACTGAGATAAAAATATGAATAATCGAGCACTGTATATTTATATAAAAGATTTAAAGAAGCTGGGAATGATGGCACGGTAATGACAAATATCATGTATATAATGATATAATCTCAACAAAAGAGAGACGGTAGCAGTGTATAAAGTTAACATGAATTAGGAATGGTTCGAAAGTTCGTGGCATGAAAGTTTAATCATCTACATTCTTGAGAAAACCAGCATGCTCTAATTTAAACAACTTGATATAATTTTTGAAGAAAATACAAAGGATTTGATAGTTTAAAATAGTCAAAACGAACACCATCTAAATATCGTAAGCGTTTGGTATCAGCAAATGAAATGTACAAAGTTAATCGTGATTACTTGTAATTTAGCACAACACAATAAGAACACATTCTTTTCTAATCCATAGGCTGTAATGGGACTAATTTTAAAGATAACTAATTTTACATATTGACCTATTCCATTATCAGATTAAATCATAAAAATCACAATTTAATACCACACAAGCGATACAGGTATTATAAAAGTCTTTGGGATTTTTAGCACATTAATAATACTCCAGAAATATATAAATTAAAATCATACTCAATAAATTTTTTGTTTTAAAAATTAAAAGACCAGATGGAAGAGATTACTATATATAAATAAAGGTGAGAATGTGATTTAATCAAATAAATCTAAGGTGTATATATAATTTTTTAAACCAATCCATTCAATAAATGTGTTCTTTGCGCAAGCATTTACGATTTGGGCAATTTATTTATCCTTGCTGGTTAATTAAAAGTTTTTATTTACTAATTTACTTTAAAATGGAAGGGTTATACAAAATTGTATTTTAAAGGCAGTCCTTAATTCTAAAATCATAATAACGATTACCCCATTTCATTTTGGATAAATAAATTTATTCAATTGACAACTTTTAATGTCTTTTTCATTATCTTTTCGGTTCAAGTCTAAAAGTTCTCAAATGTTTTCTTAAATCAAAAAACTGGCAAGTAATTTTTTTATTAAAACAAAAGTATACTATAGAAAAATAAGTAACACAATAGATTGGTGGAGCTCAATTGCAAGGCCATCCCAATAGTTGTCCCATTGAATAAAAAGATTCATCGAGGCAATAACCTAAAATGCATGTAGAACGGTGGTTAGAACAACTTTATGAAGCAACTACTTTCATGCGCTGAGAGCCAGACCATCAAGAATTGTGTAAGATGCGCACTGCAAGACAAATCAGAAAGAAGTTAAAAAAGATTCTGGATAACATCAACAAATTTTCTAGTATTGATTATATCAAAAGTTAGAGACGGTTGCTTTCAGTGGGATTTCTCTCAGTCTTTATCCAATGAGGCTCGTGGAAAGTGTAAACAGAGCGGCAGAATAGTTTTCAATGATCCTGCGGCTGGTTCACCGACCGCAACCTTGTTACGACTTACATCTTATCTACTTTTCATTATTCAGAGCCTGGACTCTTCATCCTGAAAAACATCTGAGATAGTGACGGGCGGTGTGTACAAGCTACAGGGACTTATTCAATATCCATTGTTGATACACACTTACTAGGAATTCCTCTTTCGTATGTGCCTTACAGCACATAGTCCATCTGAGCACCTTCCTGTCTCTCTCTCTACCTGCTATTGTATTGCGCGTGCAGCCCAGGGCATCTGAGGGCATCTCGGATCTGTTATAGCCTTTTCCTTCCTGTTCCGTGCGGAACATGTCCAAAAGATCTCACTCATTCAACCATTTAAGGTCAAAGTCATCCCATCAATTTCCAACGACCATGCACCACTCCTGTATTGCTCGTTTCTACACAATACTTGGCCCTGGTAAGTTTCCTCGCGTTGAGTCAAATTAAGCCGCACAATCCACTCCTTGTGGTGTAGCTCCGTCAATTTCTTTAATTTTCACCCTTGCGAGCATACTATCCCCAGAGCCCGAACTCTAAGATTTCTCCCTGCCCACTGTGTCCAATGAGCATGTCGGCATCTTTTACTGCTGGAACTACTGCGGTATCTAATCACTTTCGATACTCCAGCCTTCGTCCTTGATCACCGAATGCCTACAAGAACATCGCCTTCGCCTCGCTCAGTCCACCAGGGGTCTTGGCATTTCATCTCTCGCCCTGGTATACTATGTTCCCCATCGGCTCCTCCATCATCGCACTGTGAGACCTCGCATCTCTCTTTGCCCTTCTATGACTACGGACTTTTTAACTGCAGCATCTCTCATACACACTCTTGGAGTCGGTATTACCGCGGCTGCTGGCACCAAACTTGCCCTCCAATTCTCCTATCCCTCTTTACAAGATACTCATCTTCACGTCTCATAACTGCCTCCTGCAAAGAGTGGGCAATTTTCGCGCCTGCTGCCGTCCTTGGACGTGGGAGCAATCTCTCAGGCTCCCTCTCCGGTACAAAACCCTAATTTCCCGTCAACCGTCACTGTCTTGGTAGTCCATTACACTACCAACTAACTGATAGTCCTGCGTCTTATTCTGCCTTCCCTTAGCTACATTTTCACGTAGTTATCTACACAGCCAGACTAAATCATCGCAGTTTTACTGAGCTATTCGTCCCTGATTGCGGAAACATGCATGGCTTAATCTTAGAGACTAGCATCTACGTCAGGCAGAATCAACCTGGTGCACGTGTGTCTTTCTCACGCTCCTCTCCATTCCCCTGTCTGTCAGATTGGAATCTGGCTGGCTGGTGCTTGCTATTTCCACTAATTCACACTGTTTCTGTCCGTGTCGGCTCAAGAGCCCGGCCCGGGACCGAATCCCGCAGGCAAAAGTTTTCACAGACGTGCGCCTCAGCCATCCACATCGCCAAGAGAGAATAATTGGAGAAGACTGCTATGGAGCGGGGGAAGTGGGGAGACATCTACGGCCATATCCGCTGGAAAGCACCGGAACCCATCTGAACTCCGCAGTTAAGTCAGTGCGAGCCGGTCCAAGTACTGAGGTGAGCGATCTCTCGGGAACGGTCGGTGCTGTAGTTTTTGGCTTTTGCTTTTCATTGGTGCTGGTGAGACGGCAATAACTCTTCTTCAGTTGCGCCTTCAATCACAGCTCACTATTGATTTGGGGTTGTGTAATGGAGTTGTGACATCAAAATTGATGGGGATGGCCAGACAATTCAGCAGTATTCAAAGCAGGCCAGTTGCTTTATTTCTACTTCTTTGCATATTAACCATACAGCAACTAACCCTAGGAATGCTTGCAAATTTTTTCAAGAAAAAGACAAGAGAAAGGGACATCAAAACAGACAACCTTGAAGAAATCCAAGAGTTTTTAGCATCACACGACTGTGTCGTTAGCACCCAGAATAAATCTACTGGGTCTACAACTGGTAAATATAGTGTAAACAAAGATGAAAAAATTTTAAGTTATGACCAAAAAACTAACACACAAGCACACAAAAGGATAAAAGCATCGTCAGAAATAACCAATAATAAGCTGCCGGCAAATAAAAGCAGAAAGGCTGGACATGTTCCCGATTCAAAGCAAGAAGTTCTTGAAAATTTTAGTTTCATTTCTAATTCATCTGCCAGTATTGACAAACGGATGCAGGGCTTGATGGATGAACCATTTGTGATTGATAGCAATGTTCAAAGAATGCCCCCAGATAGACACAAACCATTTCTGAACGAAGATTGCACTAATGGCGATATTGACTTCAGAAAGATCCAAGTTATGAATATGGCTACAAGAAACATTGAAATCAAGTACAGCCCATCATCAGCCACGCTCTATCTTCCCAAGAATTTTCGACTGTTATCTACTCTTTACAAGATTCTAGCATCTGTCCATTCATTTAATCAAAGGCGAGGTCTTACCCTAATTTTCATTAAGTATGTCGAGTCTATTGAAAAGCTGTTCAAACACCGAGTGGAAATGGCGTTACTAGAACAGCTAAACTTTATCTGCAATGGGTCGATGGTATTTACGCCAGTAAGGATTCTTGACGAAGGTATTAAGAAGAACACCTTTAAGATTGATGTGAAGGAGGGATTTGACATTGATATTGCACTGTTCAATTACTACTGTGAGCTGTACTATACATGGCTGGAAGAGAACAATATTCAAGGAAGGATATGCAGATTTCACCCTGACTTTATCAAAGAAGAGTGGAGGATTCCACCGAAGCCTTTCCTATTGGAAGTGAAAGTTCCACAGATAGAGGATGATATCAAACAGCTAGCCAGGGACAAGGCCAGCACAATTATTGAAAGAATCAAAGAAAGAGAAAGACAGAGAAAAGAGCAGTTTGTACATGAATGCACAGTGAAAATTGACTATGAAGCCAGGATAGACAGTATTTTTTTGCTTACCAACAAGCAGGCGATGAGGTTGGAGGATTTGATATTCAAAGTGGGGGGTTTTGACTGCAAGGCCAATTTAATGAAGGTGTTTGGTGACAGGTATTTTGTAAAAATGATAGATGGGGAAGAATACGTTGTGAAAAAGTAAATATTTAAATATATCAGATTAGTGTTTTTATATGACATTGTTTATGGTATTTAAACAGGTATTTCACTGCTATTTATTTTAACTGTATAGTACGTAAAAGCACATTTCATAGCCTTATTTAATTATTGAATATGCTTTATCGCGGCTGCTGATATTGTTCAATTTTCACTAACCAAGAAAAAATAAAAATTTTGCCCAGAATGTCTATTGCCAAAGCAGTTGAGCTTGTACAAAGTCCTAAAACTTGTGTATCTATAAAAACAAGAGCGTTATTTTATTTGAGATGCTTAGATACAGAAGAGGCTGCACTTGCGCTTCAAAAATGCATTACAAACACATCGGTTCTGATAGACCACGAAATCGCCTATATTCTCGGACAGATGAAGCAATCAGCAACAATACCATTCCTTTTCAGTTTGGCAAGAAACAAGAACATCAATCCAATTGTAAAGCATGAAGCTATTGAAGCTCTTGGTAACTTTGAAGACCAAAATCTTATACCGCATATTCAACCGTTTTTAAATGATCCTATTTCTATCATCAGCGAATCAGCTGTTTTGGCTATTAGTAAGTTAGAAGAATATAAATCAAATAAAGATTCACTTAGTAGATATTATAGTAGAGATCCAGCGTATCCATTTAAAGGTTCATTTGAAGAAGCCATTAGGTTTTTTAATAGCGATAAAATTGAAGAAAAGTACAAGGCATTGTTTTATTTTAGAGATCTGAATTCAAAGGAAGCCGTAGAAGTTCTAGCAAAAGGTTTCAGAGAATCATCCGACTTGTTGAGACATGAAATAGCTTATGTATTTGGACAGATGGAGAATCCACTAGCTGTAGATGTTCTTATCAACGTATTGGAAGATGAAACGGAGGCAGAAATAGTTCGTCATGAAGCAGCAGAAGCACTGGGCAATATTGGAACAGAAAAAGCACAGCAACATCTTCGAAAATATCTTGATTCGGAGATTACGATTTTAAGAGAAAGTGCTCGTGTGGGCCTAGGAATATATAACAATGATAATAACGATTATGCTGACATTAGCTTACTTAACTAGAAAATACATTTTATGAGGAATCAAATTGATTAAACTCAACTCTGATTTGTACTTGTTAAACTGATTGTTTCTTATTGCATCTAAAAAGCTTAGCATAAAAGCGCTTAGATAAATAGCTATTTGAGTCATAAATAAAGATGCTTTCAATGCAAAATAATACTAAAAATGATTATTATTAATTTATATTTGTTCGTCTTTATTTAGTATTTGATCTACTACAAATATGACTTCTCTAATTTGATGTTCTCTCAACTGCAAAAATGAATAGATCATGGACAAATCATTGAAAGATTTAAAAGATTGACTGTACAGTTTGATTTTCTTAAGTCTCATTCCTTCGTAAAGATCCGAAGACTCCAATTTAAATATATCCTCAAGTTCATTGAAATCATTCACGTTTTTCAATTTCTTTGTGATTTGATCTATTGCAAATTGATCTGCTTCTTCCACCACAGGGATATACTCACATATCCTTTGATCAGACCCACATTCTCCATTAAATGTCAATGAAGAAGATCCTGGTAAGAATAATACCAGTTGGCTTCTTAGCGAAAGGCTTAGATATATGTCTAATATAAACATTTTTATTTCTTCAAAAATGATTTCTCTGAAATATTCAACACTCCTACTTAACTTGTAATACTCTTCATAATATTTTTTCATTACCTGAAGATATACTTTCTGATATTCTCCATCAATGATGTCAATTCCTTCAAAATAACGATATATCCCGGATTCCTTCAAAACAAAAGATCTTAAATCTTCAAAATCCTTACAAAATTCAATACATTTAAGCTGTTCAAAGTATCCCACACTATTCTTTTCAACTACCCAAAAATCCTCATTTTTGTTTTTTTCATCTTCAGAATAGTTTTGTAAAACAGAAAATAAGCAATGAATTTTATGACCATCCAGAAAATATCTAGTAAAAGTATTATCTCCCAGCTCAGATACTTCTTTCTTCAATTCCTTATACAAGATTGTCCTTAAATCATTGATAGTTCTTACCGAGTCACAACTTGGAAAAATTTTGCAAATTTTTAAAACTATATCCTGAAAATTTGAAGTACTTCCAAGAAAATTCTTAATATTAACATTCGAGAGTTCAAAGAATCTTGTGTGAACGTCAGCAAGGACAAACCCAAACTTATTTGCAATATGTTGGAGTGTTGGCATAATTTATTTGATAAAACACAAGCATTTTTAATAAATACAAGACTGAAACACACTCACAACAGTGATGCTTTTTTCTATATTAATTACTGATCTTTTCTGTCTAGAATTGCATTAAGCTTAATCTTCTATTTTAATAACAGATATAGCTCTGAATACAAAATAAGTGGAATAGAATACTTACTTTAATTGTATAGTGTCAAATACATCATTCATTTAATTTTCTCAAAGATTACTGAATAAACGTAATCCTTTGTAATTACAATAGCAAAACAAGTATTGGCAAGAAGAGTGAAAATATGGAAAATTTCATGGTATCCAATTAATTCAGGAACTGGGTTGGGTCTTTCCATTCCGTAGACAATACCACCAACAATGTAGAAAATTCCACCTAGACATACAAAGATCAATTCAAATGTATCAAAATGCGCCATCAGCTTGATAAAAGGAAGAATAATAAGACCATGACAGATATAGCAGATCAGATCAAATATGTCATAGAGCCTACTAAATACGAGGAACCTTGATATTCCTATTAATGATATCCCCCAGGAAAGCTTTATTGCCATCAAAGCAAAACTCATTTCGGTCTTTGGAATGTTATTCAGAAGAACGGACGTCTGTGTCCCACTTATTAAAAGAAATATACAGGAATGGTCCAGGTATCTGAGAAAAAGTTTGGTTTTTGGGTTCCAATCTGGGATGTGATAAAAGCTACTTACCCCAAACTGAAGCATCTGGCTTATCAAATAAATAAGAATCCCCAGGTTGAATTGGTAGAGGTAGGAAGACAGAAGAAAGAGAAGGAGACCAAAGCAAGTAAGTAAAAAAGCAGCACAGTGAATCTTTCCCCGGAGCTTAGGCTTTGGAAGAGAAAAGGTGTTATTTTGAATGTTTAGTCGCAGACTATTTTGAATATTCATGGAGGGTATTAAAAACAACTAGTAAATACTACTAAAATTCTATAATTAAGCATAAAATATGACTTTAGAACATAATAATATTATAAAATATACTGAAATTGTCACACGAACGTTGCAGGATAAAACTGATATGTACTTAGTAAAAATAGACTGACAAAGAAGAAGGTCCATCCAATAGATTGGTACACGTAGATAGTTATCCAAAATACGTATATTGGTCTAAAAATTAATATAGTATCTTTATTTAAGTTTTTTCTAACTCCCACCCCACAGACTATCCAGCATGAAGGTCCAAGAAATTTTTGACATCGCATATTCAGTAAATTTGGCAGGATTGGACAACGAATATCAGCTAGTACGGACATTCTTTATGAGAAGCGGTGTACGATTGTCATACAATGAGATAGTCGAGTTATACCGAGAGATTCTCCGAGTTGTGAATTCGATGGGATACTCCGATCCTCTTGATTTTCTGAAAGACTTCTTTCCCGAAAAGGAGTTTAGGAAGGTTCGGGTATTTAGGAAGAACATAAACAGGAGAATTAAACTAGAAAGAACCCCAACTCAACAGCCAGTAAATACTGTGGAGAAAAAGTCTCAGATTAGCTCCACCCAGGTAAGTCCTGAGGAACCTAAAAAAGCCAGAATACAAAACCTAAAGAGTGATATGACAGAGAAGGAGGCAGTATCAAGGCCTATTAAAATCAAAAAGGAAGTGTTTGATGGAAGAGTAGGCAGTGGAGAATTGAACGTTGAAATGTCTCAAAAGGATAAAAATAAGGTAATGAAGTATAAAAGGACTTCAAAAAGGTTCAAGGACATGGACCAAAAAGAAAAAGAGGCTGACAACAAATTTGATTATTTTATGTATCGATCAAAGCTAGATGAGAAATCCAAGATGTATTTGGACAACAGACAGTTACTAAATGACAATCCATTTATAAGTAATATATACAATGATATTGATCTTGAATTCAGAGAAGTAATGTATAGAATATACAAACACAACCGTTCACAAATTAAAGACAAGTCCAAATATGCAATTGAAATGGAGTTTCTAGAAAACTACTTTGCAAAGAAATTGAACATTTCCAAACAGGAAGAGGATTCATCAAGGAAATTATCAAATGCAATAGCATATTTAATGAGGAAGCTTCAAAATAAGATATTTGAAGTGGAGGATGACGAGACGGTTGAGTTAATGCTATATTTCAAGACAAGGCTGTGTGCGTTTTACAACTACTACAGAAAATAGACTAGACAGTCTTTAGTGTATGGAATTATCGTGTATGTTTTGAGTATAAAATTAACGGTAAAACTTAAATAAATTGCATAAAAAGTCTCTTTAAAAACTGTACTGTCACATATTCTTACTTTTAATATGCTTTCTTATTATTTTTATATAATGTACAGATTTTAGAATATGCTATCTTTTATATTTATTTTATTAGTCCGAGCACTACAATACAAGGGTGAGCTAATACGGAGACAGTACTTGGCAAAGAGCTTATTGATTGGAGCATTGTTTATGCCCAACTACTATTTACACACCAACACCTCCATGAAAATACAATGCACACAAGTGTATAGGCAATATTGGTGTTACCGCCAACACACACTCATGCTCTACTTTCTCTTTTTCTTTTATGACTCCCCCTTGAATGGACAAAAATCCAAAAAAGTCTGAAGATCTCTCTCCTGAGGAGATGTGGAAGAAAGTTAGTCAGCAACTCAGTTCGAAGAAGTATGAAAGTGCATCCAAACTTGCATATACAACAATGTTTGATCTCAGTAGTATTTCGGCTGAGATTCAGAAAATAAAGGCAGAGAAACGAAGGACATTAGAAAAACTAGAAAAAATAGAAATAGAAAATTCCATGTTAAACAAACCTTACTTTAAGCAAATAGAACCGATGTATCCAATAAGGAAGAGGTGCAAGGTACCTGCCTTCTTTCCCAAGCATTCTTTTATGCATTTTAACAATCCAAATTTTTATAAAAGATTTGACTTAGATACCCTCTTCTTTATATTTTACTATTTCAAGGGTCATATACAGCAGACGTACGCTGCAATCCGACTGAAGCACTATGCTTGGAGATACCATTTGAAATATAAAATGTGGTTTCAAAGATTAGATGAGCCTAAGCTTATTACAAGTGAATATGAAAAGGGTGAGTTTCTGTTCTTCGACTATGAAACAGCATGGAATTTTATGAAGAAGAACGATTTTGTGTTTGAGTACTTCTACTTGGAACACCACGACTATCATTGAAGATAGACTAATATTAGAATATAAAGAGCAGTGTTATAGAACTACAATAATAATATAGAATATTAAATAGAGAGCATTATTAATAATAAATGAGTTTATAGTAAATCATGTCATAAGCTTAACCATTGTGCACTTTAAAATACTTGTAAAGATTTTGAAATATACGTCAAATCTTTCAACAGAGCATATAAAATGTGTTTATATTAGAATTGTTGATTTAAACAAAATATAAGATCAATCTAGCTTTGAATATATTGAAAATATATTACAACACATAGATGCTTATAAGCGTCATTGGTTTAGTGGTATAATGGCGGGTTGCCATCCTGTCGACACGGGTTCGATTCCCGTATGACGCATTTGTTTTGTTCACAAACTGATAATGAACTGTCTCGTAAATCAATTAATGACATTTAGAAAAGCTTATTTGTAGAAGTTTATTAATTATCAAGAAAACTAATCACAGCCGGTAAAACAGAAATTAAAACCCAGATGATCCAAACAGGTAAGTTCACTTTTCCGTACTTGCCACCCTTCAAATAAAGACACATAAAAATAGAGGAATGACCAATCAACACAATGAATCAACTATGAATAATATCTACTTGAAAGCCAGCCATGCTTTGGCCAGTATTTCCTTGGACACATTCTTCAATCTTAATCCAACTCCTTCCGTAAGACGATATCCAAACATCGAGTCTTTCAAGCATGGATTTGTTGCATTAAATGAAAAGCTGTACAAGGAAGCGAAAAAGAAACAAATAAACCAAGAGGAGGATGGATGTTCAGAAAGTCCCAGACTGAGGAGAAACCATTTACTAGTCCTGGAGGACAGACCAGTCAGTCGCAAACTGAAATGTAAGATTGGGAGGAGTGCCATGAGGTATTTGCACTCACACAGTATTATAAAGCTGTTCAATGGATTCTTCTGTCTCTTTGAGTACCATCACAGAGTGTTTGAAGTCCATCCTTACATATTCCAACAGTACTTTAGTACTATTTTTACTGTTTTTGCCTCAATGAAAAAGACCAAGCTTGAGAACGTGTTTAGAGAAGTGTGTGGCAGTCCAAGAATGCAAGAGTTTTATGAAGATCTGTACAAAAGCTGGGAGGAAGAAATGAACAACAATGAAAAGGAGATTTTACTGCAGAAGAAATAAATGATAGAGCCATATCAAAATCAACTGTGTTTTAGCAGGACTTTGTGACTATTTCAAGTAGACCACTTCCAGTTTATTATCACATAAAATAGTATATTGAATATTAAATTACTATTACACCTCCTCTTATGCAGCCCTGCATTTATGGTTGGAGAGCCCCACTTCAAAGCATTGGCATTTATGCTTTCTTTTTTGTTCAAAGCTTTTTGGTAAAATTTTTTGTACCCAGAAAATGAACGAGGAGTTACCGTTTGAACATAAACCATCAAAAGAGCCCATCAGTCTATCAGAACCGACAACTTTTGAAGTACTCTGGAATGCTGCTTCTGAAATATTAAAAAGTCTAGGCAACTTTCTTTATAGTTTATACCCTTTTATTTTGAGCCTTAAAGAGGATCTCCAAAAATTCTTCCAAGAGTACTATAAACTACTAAAAGACCAGTACAACAATTACAAAAGCTATTTAAATGAAGACAATAGAAAGGAGTTTGCCGAGGCTATACTCAGAAAAGAGCCAAAGCCAAGCTACCATGACTATTTACCAGAACCATTTGTCTCTCTCAGTGGTGTAATCTTCCTTTTCTTCTTCGTTTCATATTTCTTTTCTTACGTTTGGTATAATACTTGGATAGACGCAGTCGTTCGCATTTCCTACCCCATGTTCTCTACTCCTTTGATCTTTTTACTAATTGGCGATGCTCTCGAAGAATTCTACCTCAGAAATGAAAATATTAGTTACATGTCATGCACCATTCTAAATGGATCATTCAAGTTTAGACTCTGCGTTATACTTCATCTGATTAGTCTATGCTTATACGTTGGAAAGTTTGGACAGGCAGGTAATCTAAGAAAGATGTATTTTATACCTAATTGCTTCATTCTTTGCTATGTCTTATACCTGTATTATAGCTTGTATCTTGTTAGCTTGTTTGACAGACGCGGTTATATTACAATACTATTCTTATTCCAGCACAATACAACACGTCTAAATCTATTACAAGCCGTGGTCATATTTGGTGCGATACTTCTTGTCATGGTTATGGGCAGAGTTATAACGAATTTCCTGTTGATCCCCTATATTAATATATGCAGGGACAATTCAAAAGCCAATGCCGAGGCCGAACATAAAGAAAAAGAAAACAAGGATAAAAAGGACAAGGAGGACAAGGAAAAACTCAAAATTGACCAAGACAAAGTTAAGAAGGCAAGGAAAGCAAGCGAAGACAATGTGACGGAGTTCTTAGAAAGACTAAAAAAGCAGTCTGACAACAAGGAAAAATAAGCATAGCAAACAGCATTTTGACAAGTAAACTAGCCCCTTCCACTCTATAGAATATCCACATAGTTTTTTATGCTAAGACTTAGACCAGGCCTCAAGTCTTATTTGTTTATGCCAAATGCGTTCTTTTCAGAATATGAGCTTTTAAATAAATTCTTATTTATTTTTATAATATAAGTCTCTATCAAAATGGATTATTGCTGGAACGTCCTTCCCAAACCAAAGTTCAACTTCTCTTTCGACGTTTTCAACCTCATCAGTACCGTGTATGACGTTCTTGCCAATGTACAGTCCATAATCTCCACGTATGGTTCCTATAGCAGCCTGCAGTGGGTTGGTGACACCAATCAGGTCTCTAACTATTTTTACTGCATTGTCACCTTCCCAGACCATGGCAACAACCTGTCCTGTCTGCATGTACTCGATCAGTTCGTTGAAGATCTCAACTTTATGTTTGAGTGCTGCATAATGTTCTCTAAGAATATCCTCCGTGGGGATAAGGACCTTCGCCTGTACAAGGTATAGCCCCTTCTTCTCAAACCTTGAGATAATCTCACCAACCAATCTTTTCTTTACTCCATCTGGCTTTACGATGACAAAGGTTCTTTCCATGGGATAAAAATTTTAGAGCAACATCAAAAATTAAAAAAGAGTTAATTTAAGCGTACAAAAATGCTTATTATGAATTGATTACTATTGGAATCTTTCAACAGTTCCAAATCAGAGCTGGTATCCTTTCAAAAGTGGATGGCTTTTTAAATTCATGCATTTTAAACACTTTGTCACATCGTTCAACAATATTAATTTATTTTAATTATACATTTATGTTCTGAGTGCCTTTTCTAGCCTGGTTAAAATGTTGTTTGTCCTGTTAACTTCATAGATGGAGGCCTTTTCCTTTTGCACATCATTTTGTGATCTTTTCCTTGCTGGCACGTAATTGGTTTTAACCATTGAAAATCCTGAAATACCACCTCTGGGCAGTGTGGTTCTAGCCATCATTGGATTTGCTGGGGTTTCCAACAGTCTTTTACATTCCTCAGGCAACACGTCAAGTCTTCCCAAGTTTCTATTTAATAAATCTCTACACTGATGTTCCATATTAGCCTTCATTTGATTTTGGGGATTGTACAATGAATTGATGTCTTTTAAATGCACTTCTCTTAGATTTTCTGGGAATACTCGTTCTATCTTCTCTGCATATTCAACGGATTCTGTCAGATCTTCTTCAGACTTGCTTGGGCGCTTCTTTTTCTTATCTTTTTTGTCTGGCTTACTATTTTCTCGTTTAAACTTAGATTTACTATTCTCTCTATCAAATTTGTTTTCTTCATTTTCCTCACTTGAGCTTTCCTCCTTTTCTCCTTCTATTGTATCTTCTTCCATAGGACGTCCCTTTGGATTTAGCCTATTCATTACTTCTTCAACCTCAACAAGCTTAAATACCTGTCTTTTACTTTGCCTACATTCAGCCAGAATAAAGGACTTTTCAAAATACGTTACGCACAGATTCCCGTCGTTCTTCAGTACAAATGTTTGTTTGTTTCGATCTATCGTATTTACTTTAATGTCAAGGAACTTGGAATCAAGAACATTAGAATCGCTTTCAATCTCGTCCATCCTCTTTCCTGCAATTCCTGGTCTTCTCAATGGATTTGCCTCCACTTTCATTTCACTTTTATAGTGTAGAAGATTTTTAGGCTTATGGCACATTGATTTAGACCCGTCACATTCTTCCTCATCTGTTCTATGCTGATTTTTAGACATAGCTTTATTGGACAATACAGTAGGATACTCTGTTTCTTCGTAAGCTATGCTATCTTCTAGTCCCTTCATAGATCCAAGCCCAATATTCGATGCTGGCATTCTTTGATGTAATGACAGCTTGTCGGTATGCTTCTTTTCAATCAAGCCTTTTCTTGTACTCATAATATCATCTCGCATTATATCAGTTTTTAGTTCACCACTTTTATTATATCACTTTTAATATTAGTCACTGTTATCAGTGCCTATTGTATCTTCCTTTATTTCAGTGTCCCTTTTCTTTATAAGATCGTCCCACTTCAAAACCTTTATTTTCCGAAGTGAGGCATTTTCCTCTGGGTCTGCTAATCCAGTGTTCTGTGTGAAATACTGCACTGTATTTATACTTGCAGGGCCTAGCTTTAGCTTTACATTGTCATTATCATATATAAATCCATAGTAGCTGCCTTTTGTGTAGAAAAATATCTTTCTTGAGTGGAGTACCACGTAGAAATTTGTAATATTCAGTGTATCAACCTTTTGAATTTTCAAATTAGACTCAGAATTCATTATAAACATGTCCTTCTGTTTTTCATAGACCTGATCTAAGGTTAACAGCCTGAATCCAAAGATCGTTGTAATTAATAATAAGATCATGGTGTTTATATTTGAACTATATTTATTTTATGATTTAGATATGAAACACACACGAAACACCAACTAATCAAAAGGGAGTATTATTCATTTTAAATCTATTGAATATTTTAGTCTTCTTCAAGATTATTGGATCAATATCAAAAGTAAATTAGCATTAACAATGATGATAATATGTAAAACAGCACAATTACAACAAGAATATAGCGGCACGATTAATAGTCACGCATAGACAATAAAAATATGGTCTTTTCTATTGAAACAGTGCATTTAATTAATATTTATTTGATTAGTCCTGGAATAGTATTCACAATAATCATCTTCAAGAATGTCTTCGTATATACCCCTGTATAACCTTTACTCCAATCGTCACCAACGGCGAATATAAAATACTTACCATCATTTGAAAATTCACCAGCAGTAATAGGCGCACCAAATTCATTTGAACAGAGTTTTGATCTATTTTCTCTATCAAACCAAACTAAAGATCCGTCGGATCCACCAGTAACTATCAACCTTGAGTCATTCGGAAGGAAACGTACAACATTTACTGCATAGAGCTTGCCATCAACCCTGTGGCATCTAAAAACCATCTTCTTAGCTGGAAAATTCCTCGAAAATGTCTCCACTTTAGCCTCTATTCCACCAACAGCAAAAGAATCTTGATCCTTATGGGGAGCAACAGACCTGATTGAGTAGTTGAATCTAGTAGGAAACACGACAGGCTGGTTTATGTTATTCATATCGTAGACAACAACCGTCTTATCACCAAGAGCAACAACAAGAATAGATTCCTTTAAATCCATGGCATATACCTTTGAAGAAAGGGTGATGGTATGAAATGGCGAGGAACTCTTTAGATCCCAGAATTTAAGAGTGTTGTCGAAAGACCCTGTTATAATAAACTGGTTGTTGTAGTTCTGAATGGATTTAATGGCAGAATCATGCGCCTTAACGGTATTATTTGGATCAACAGCAACGAGACTCCCGTCGGAAAGACCAGCCAAAAGCATGTTATTAAAAAAGCAACATGAAAGCACAGGCTTGCCGAGGGAATAACTCTTTTCTAAAGTACAATTGGATCCTGGAGAAGAGTAAAATGGAAGCCTGTAAAGCTTTACTGACCCATCCCAGGAAGCTGCTGCCACGTGTGTATTCTCAAAATTAAAGCCAATACAGCTTATTGTGTCTACAGGGCAGTCTGGAAGATCTATTGCTTTGGCGTCATTTTTCTGAATGAAGCTTTTGGTGGTGTACATGGGTGAGCAAAAAACAGAAGAGAAAAACATAAAAGAGCTGTGTAAAACAGTGGGGAGTAGAAATGGCAAATAGGATGGCATAGAACAGGAATATAGAAAGATTTCTGTATGAAAAGTGCCAGAAAAACAGTAATGCAACGCGATATTAAAGGGAAAGTATTTTCAAGTTTATTGAATAAACGGCAATCATTCCAATACAACCCTGCCATTCTTCAGTTTAGGTAATTCTTGAACATATTCCTCAGTCAATATAAGATAGTTTAGATTAGGAAATACCTTGTTGATATTGTCTATTTTCACGATTTTAACATTTTTCAGTGAAAGTTCAGCAATATTAACTGTCTTAAATACATCATTCATTATTTTATACTCCAAAAAGTCAATATTTGCAAGAGGGTTTGAATCCAAAACAACAGTTCTCAATTGTCCAAACCCAGAAAAATCAGGAAATTTAAAAATGTCGTTATTTTCTAAAATTAGAGTCTTTAAATTAGGCAGAGCTCTGAGAGACTCAATGTTCCTATTAAGCTTGGTTGAGCTTAAGTTTAGCCAATTCAACTGGTCAAAAAACATTAGAGCTTTAATGGGAATTCTAGAAAGATAAAATCCAGAAAGGTCCAATTGGGCAACATTTTTATACTTTTGCAGATATGCCTGAAGACATGCTAGCTTGTTCCTCATGCTCTCTGTAACGCCTTCTAGGCTTTTGCCTGTTAGTGATTCAACACTCTGAGCGATAGAAGTGACAACATCCTGTGGAACACCTCGAGTTGTATTCCAAGCGTTCATGACAAAGATATCGAGCAGATCATTCTTGTAGTACTGCAGTATGCTTTTCTGCTCTGTTGATAGCTCTTCTTTTTTTAGATATTCTTCAATCTTCGGAGAGATCTCCGATCTGAACTTCAAAAAGTCGGGATCTTTAATTAGAATGAGCGGAGTTAGAGTGTTTGAGATGTACAAAAGGAAAGCTAAGGTAAAGAGAATGACTGTGATGAAAACACATGACAGACAGGCACTTTTACATATCAATCGTGGTAGCATTTCTCAGTTGAGGGGATATTATCAAAATACTTTTTATAAAGACGACAAAGAAGTAACTGAAGATGAAGTGTGGCACGGATTGAGGCAAATTTTAGATAAAGAGAATTTATTTATTGTTCAAGACGATACCCAGGGCTATTCTTTAAAAATCCAAAGTACACTCTGAAAAAGTCTATGTAAAGAACAGACTGGATTAATGAAGTAACGACCAAGAGCGTATCAACCTTCCTCGTACTAAGCATTCCAAACACAAAATAAACCAGGTAGCTAAGCCTGTACAATCCGAGAAGAGTTATATATACTGCAGTGAGCTTTTCACACTCACCTGAGTCCTGGGTCACCACTAGTTGGGGGAGAATTGCCAGTGATTCTAAGATTAAGGAACAGGTATAAAGGTATTCCTTAATGTATCCAAAGAAGTCAAAAAATATGCTATCTGTCTCATCCTTGAAAAAGAGGGAGAGAAGCATAGAAACAACAAGGAATATTGGGATATTGAAAGTGTCGTACTTCTTAGAGTAGGAAAACTTAAGTCTACCGTAGAACAGGGAGATAAGGTACGCTTGAAAAGAAATATAAACTACCTTCATAAAGGAGTTGTATACGGTAAGTTTCTTCCATGTTCCATGCGGAGAGAGAAGATCGAGGTATCTAAAAACGTAGACAAAGAGATAGAGTATTTGTGTCTTGAGGGAGATTCCACTAAGACTATTAGTATTTTGAATTTTTCTGGTTAGTGCAAGTCTGCTTGACGTGGCTAGGAAGTCACCAAGGAATCTAAAAAATACGGAAGAGAAAAGAGACATGGGGGAGGTAAAAAGAAAGGATAAATATAGAACTGTGAAAATAGTCTGGAAAGGGAGTGGTGTTTATTAACGAACAGAAGGTAAACCAGCGACATAACTAATGGTATTGCAAAGCACTTGAAGAAACACTGATTCTTGGTTGAAAGGCTTGATGCTTTCCAGCAAACAGCTGAAATATTAAAAACTTTGGCATTATTCCGACATTTGATTGAAATAGTCTACAACTAAGTATTCTTTTAATTAAAAGTGCTCTGTTAAAACAAAGCCTTAGCAGCAATATTCGATACCCAATATGAAAAACTAAATATCAAGTATCAGTTCAAAAAAGCACCAAAGTGAACAACCCATCATCAGACATGCTACCTTGTTGATATTCAGCCACTCCGTGTCATATCTATGAAACAAATCAATATTTCATCATGCCATCTGGCCAGTAAATCCGTCAACCTTGCACAAGGCGTTTAATAAAAGGACTACTTTTATTCTCACAGTAGTTTAATATACCTCATCAATGCCGTTTCCTATCACGTACCTGGCACAACAGACAGCAGAGAAATGCATCAAATTTTCTAGGGGTGATACCATAAACCTATTGTTGGATAACTCAAATTATCTTTGAGGACTGGAAACTCATCATAATTCCAGCACTATACACCTGCACACTTCTTATGAATGGTGGCTATCTGCCGTCCAAGTTACTATGTAAAAAAGCTGTCTGTGTCGCTACTAGGTTTTCAAATAATTTTAGAGATTGTCTTAATAGCTTCATCTCACCTTACTCTACTAGAGTAAGAAGCTTTGCTGGATGGCTGTCTGAACATTATGCACAGACAATAATGTCGTTATGGAAATGCAGTACAAGAATATTGGTTTTTGACATATTGATATTTGCACACTCACAATAAAGCAATCAACAAAGTTAATCTATTTAATTTTGAAAACAAGGAAGAGATTAATTTGAATACATAACTGGCAATGGTCATTAGTTTCATACTAGTCATTACGTTTTGTCTTCCCATGTTTTCATGCTATTTTGAACTACAAAGTCTTAACTGACAATTCCTATTTCCCAGTGCCAATAAACATGCTCTCTTTGATCATATTTTCAATTGTAAAAATAGAAGAAACCAACCAGTTCTTTAAACAGCATTCGATGGGGCTCAGAACCGTCGACCATAGAAGAAACCAGCCACTATGCTGGGATTGTAGCCATCTGACTGGAGGCATTCTCTGTGCATAGGTGCTCTGCCTTTTCTGACTACTTTTTTGATTTAAAAATTTTCAAGATCATTATGGTTGACGCATTTCAAATTTAATCAAATATAAAGAAATTAAAACAGACAAAAATTAATCTAGTTTGCAGGAAAGGACTTGACAGGATAAGTTTTGTGGTTTAATTAAATTAAAAGCAATTTACATTTATTTCTAAATTTTAAACGATTTCTGCATATTTGAAGAGGGGTCTTTCCATTGTGCTGAATTATCTGCGCTTTGGTGTTGTATTCACATTTCGCTTATATTTCAACATTATACTTTTCTGAATTTAATTAGATTTTATAAGCTTAAATCAGAATATAATTGATTAATTCTATCTGTCAAAACTTTATCATAAATATATTGACCAGAAATAATATCATATACTAAAACATGTCCTCTTTGTTTTATGTATCACACTCAACTGATTATGTGTTTCTAAAACATGTTTTATCTATTATTTTATATCATCATAAACAAACTGATATACCCCATGCTCACAAACTATGTTTTTGGAAGAGATTCAGGAATCTGGGCAGAGAGTTCGGAAAAGTGGGACGAAGCTCACTCCAGCTGGAAGATAGTTGGCCACGATCCGAGACGGATTCTAAGAGATGAGGTATGTCTTCAGGACATGTCTCAGGAAAAGATGTCCCAGGAAATATTCCATAAATCATCAATAGAACATATCTTTGAATATGAGGGGAGTTTTGATATTACAGACAACACGTGTATTGTAGATAGTATACAAGGCCACTGCCATGATAGCGGCCATTGCGCCAGGAATATATGCTCTGTGGAGAATATATACTATCTGGTGTCGTATACTTCTGGCAAGACATGCACTGCATCTTCAAAATTCAGGATAGATCCTGACCTGTATGTCATAATTGAGGCCGATAGGGGAGAGGACTGTGTTCAGGTGAAGGAGAGAATAAAGGGCGCTGCAGGAGAAGTAAAAAAAATTTTAAGAAAAGCAACACAGAAAGACATTGATATTTTGGAGAAGAAAAAAGCCCAGGAGATCAAGGCAATTGACAAATGTAATTTATTAGTGAGGGAAAGAGGTCTTCCAATGGAGATAACGGGATGTGAGTATCAATGGGACATGAAGAAGATAACATTCTATTTTGTGAGTGACAGAAGAGTGGATTTTAGGGAGCTAGTTAATGATCTGTTCAAATACTTCAAGGTAAGAATATGGATGAGTATGGAAAACAGAAAATGAAACTTTCAATATCTAGAAATTCCATGCTACTGTTCGTTGACGGTATTAATTAAATTTTAATTTAATGTTTTTATTATGCGCTGTTTAAGACAGTAGTGTTGGTAGGGTGTTTTCTTAGAGGCATGTAAGCTCGTATTTCAAAGGGCTGCAGGGAACATTCGCGTTTTATTCTTGTTTTTGCTATCCTTATTCGATGACGGACAAAAAATCGAAGAAAAGTAATTCAGAAAGCAATATTACAAAGGAAAGCAAATTGAAGCAAAGTAGTTTGAAGGCTAGTAGTAAACTGAAATCAAAAAACAAGAAATCTCTTCTATCATCAGACCCAGGCTTCATACAGTATCTAAACAAGTATGGAACAGACTTTGCCAAGTTTGTACTCCCACAGAATGATCCTGCTTGCGCATCTAGTGGCAGTAAGTTAGACGACACAGCTATACAGACTCTACTCCAGGAATCCTATGAAGATTATATGAAGTTAAAGGCCAGGTTTGTAAATAAGAAGGATGAGGAGAGTAACATAACCGAGATTCAGGGTATTTCAAGAGGAGCTGGTCCAGATACATTCAAAGCTAAGGTAGTTCTTGAAGGAAAGAAAAAGATACATGATATAGTAGATTTGAATGAGAATGACTATAGACTGCCATTCCTTCTTAAGACCTGGAGTTCAGGTTGAAACAGCAGTTGAGCTATGTAAAAGAAATGTACAGCATTATGATAGTGCTAGGCATTATCAATGCAGAATTTCTAGAAGATGACATGATTTTTGAGGACTGTGAGCCAAGATGTAACGAAAATAAGCATGGCAGGTTTCTACCAGCTGATTTCAAAGAGAAGCTACAACTAAATAGTGCCAAGGCAGATATTAGGAGGAATAAAGCAAGAAACAAGTTGGGTCCTGATGAGTTAACTATCAATAGTAGAGCAGCGATAAATATTTCGCCACAGCAAGCACCTGCTGTCCAGTCCAAGGGAGAGTGTGATGAAATAGTTGTAGTTGAGACAGCAAATGCGGTGTCCAAGGATACACACACGTTAGATGAATCCAAAATAACGATTCCATCTATGCCCAGCAATAATAAGCAGCCGTTATCGAACAAACTACAGAAACAAGATAGCCCACTCAACAAGAGTGAGCAATCTGTAGCCAAATGCATTGAACTTAAAGATACACAGTTCCTGCCTAATAGTACAGATAACAGGGCAACTCAATCTACATCTAGTAATGATGCCCATCCTGCGACAGCTCAGGATTCTGTTAGAAGTGCCAACGATGCACAAAGTATTAACGTTAATATCGAAGAGGATATTAATGCATCCAACACTTCTATCAAGCCACGCCCTCTAATACTAGCCAGGATAATGGCAGTGTTAACCAAGATGCTAGTCATACTAAATCTGTATTGTCCACAGAGCATGTTTACTCATCCCCAAGCAAGGTTTCTTTGAGTACAACAATCATCAGCCAATATGAGGATTTCATAGAAGAATTAAACAGCACAGACAATCCCAAAAGACAAAAGAAGGATGATGAGCTAAGCACAAAGACCAGTGTTATGAGCAGTACAACAAGAAATGGGTCATTAAAAGTTCATTTAAGTACCAGCAAGCATACTGAAGAGAATGCCAACTGTCAAAGCATGACTGAAGTATCCATCAATTCTACTGGAAAGCTGAAAAGTAGTAAAATTGAATCATCAAAGGAAAACATAGGAGAATTCCAGAACATGCTTGAGGACTCATCTGAAAAGCCAAAGAGCCAAGGAGAGAAAGGATCAATAGCATACTATTTAGCACACTCAAGATTTGATTAACTAAAAATTTACTTAAGCCTATTCTTATCTAGTTTTTATGCATAATTTTGTTCTAACTAATAGAAAAGCTATGTTTTCTTCCTTTTCTTTTCAATATACTTTATTTTACTCACTTCTTCGCTTTCTTCTTCATTTTTTTCTATCTTCATTTTCTTCCTAGATCTTTCAAGCACCGGTCTTATAACTGATTTGTCTATTCTTTTGGCCCCCAGCTCATAACCGAGACCGAGTCTTCTTGGCAGAAAATCCTGTTTGTAGCTGTTTGTGGTGTATTTTGTAAGACTTAGCAGTTTTTCAAGGAAGCTTGGCATTCCGATTGGGAGCTTGCTGGGATGTAAAAAGTGAATGCTAAAAATGTACAAGTAGTTTGTACAAACGAATCCACACAAAGGCAAATGGATGTGTGGACTTGGAGTGTGTAATATTTGCACAAGGCCCTCTACTTATACATCTTTTTTACTCCTCTCTAACCCACATGAGCAACCCCAATAAGGAGAACAACTCCAGTGAAGAAAGTAATTCCAGCAAAAGCCGCTGCTCAAGTGAAGTAGAAAGTAGCAAGGCTGAGAAGATTAGAAATAGATACAGCAAGGACATTGAGCTGTATCATAGTGAAATAGAAGAACTAAATGAAAAGATAAGAAAGGAGGAAGATCCAAGCTTAAAGAAACATTTGGAAAAGATGTTATTGGAAACAAGAAGGGCACTTTCCGACGTGCTAAACAAGGTTAATCAATTATAAAGGGACTAAATGATTTACATTTATATCTTTTAATTCATACACTGCCTATATTTTATGCAAGCATATACCATTTCATGCAAATACAAGCGAACACAGGAGGCATACAAACTAAACAGTCCTAAGCAATTCCCTATAATTGAAATAAATATAATATAAGAAAGTATCATTGAAGGCTCATTTAGTTGGTTATTATAAGCTTATTGTCATCTTCAATCCATATTCCACCGTCTTTGAACTCTTGAATCACATTTTCAACATCCTTTCGACTGTAGCTTGATGGCACTGAAAACACCGTGTTAAGATCGATAATCCTTCTTTGGTCCTCATTGGTACCATCATTTACAGCGTAGGACATTAGAAAATCATAAATCGCCTTTCTGAGACTGACAGTAGCCTTGGCTTGTACAGTTGGGATCCTCATTAGTTCAAGAAGATGTATGGCTTGCGAAGCATCTTCCTCTGTGGCGATCTCACTCATTCTGAGACGTGCATGAGCTAAGGTCAGTCTGATCAGAGCTAGAAGGTATCTTGGAGTGGTGGAATACTGTCTCCTAGCCTTTGAATAGGCTTCAAGTAATCTCTCTCTGATAGACCTTGAGAGTACAGGATTTATTGCTTTGCAGCCCTCAATAAAATTTCGGATGTGATAGTAATCAAGGATAGTCTCGGGCTCCTCGAAGTGTAGAGAAGTTATGTGGCTGGCTAGTGCAAGATCAGTGTCTGAATTAGAGTCGTCCTTAAGAATACAAAGAACATCAAACCTAGACAGGAGTGAAATGGGAAGGCCTACGTTATGTTCTAGTGATCTTTTGGGATCATACCTACCTTTAACGGGATTGGCAGCACCTAAGATTGCACATCGAGCATTAAGAGTAGTGTTAATGCCAGCCTTAGAAATAGATACGCTCTGTTGCTCCATTACTTCGTGAATGGAGACTCGATCAAGCTCATTCATTTTGTCTAGTTCATCAATACAACACACTCCTTTGTCGGAAAGGACAAGTGCCCCTCCTTCTAAAACTACCTCGCCAGTGACAGAGTCCTTCATTACAGAGGCAGTAAGACCTACACCACTGGATCCCTTACCCGTAGTGTACACTCCTCTTTTGGATATCTTCACTACGGTCTTAAGCAGCTGTGACTTAGCAATACCTGGATCTCCAATAAGAAGTATGTTGATATCTCCCCTAATCTTCATTCCATCTTCTCGGATTACTTGTGGTGATCCTACAAGCATGAGCAAAAGAATCTTTTTGATGTCCTTCATTCCGAATATTTCAGGTGCAAAGCAAGCAACCAGAGTATCGATGGACGGGCTTATGGGTAGGGGAGATGTCTGTAGGCTGGAAGATTCGATATGAGAGCAGTGCAAATAAATATCGTTTAGTAGACCTGCTCTCAATTTCTTAAATCCATAGTATGGTCTGGGTAGGAATATCCCACTAAGAATAACATACTCGCCCGGCTTGACCTTTTCTGTAAGACTGGAATAGCACTCAACATTTATAATTCTGGGTATGGATCCATGGGGGACATCTGAGGTAAGCTCCTGTAGCTGCAAACTCTGATACTTAATAAACTTAGATCCTCTAGTGACCAAACATAAGGTGCCTTTAATTTTCCTGGTCCTGCACTTTTCACTAAAGCATTCTTCCAGGGCATCAAAGGTTTCATTTTCCACTGCCTGGTAGATCTCAGTTCCACAGCTCTCACAGATGTATGTTGCCACCTTCATAGCGGGTTTTATCTGGCTAACTCTAGTAACTATGCCTCTTACGCGAACCATAGACCCAATATCATTGGCACTAACATCTCTGACGCTTCTTGTCTGAATATTCCTAGGAATAACATTCAAAGTATAGTTCCTAAGCAACTGCCCTGGAAATACCTCAGTAACCTTCTTTTCAGGATTGAGTTCCTTCAGCCTTGAAATTCTTTGAAATAGAAAAACATCATCGGTCTCATCAATCGCATACTCATCCCCATTAAAGAGAATTTCGTCTATTATCTTATGCATTAGCTGCAAATAAGAAAAGGTGTTTCTTTCGAATCGGATGGCTATGCCTGTCTCATCGTAAAGATTTAAATCATTCAAATCAATGTTGATAGTCTCCTGGTGGCTTCTCAGAGCATTCAAATATTTGTACTGGTCATTCTCCTGGAAGAATAGGATGAATTTTTTCAGTCTTTCTTTATCGTCTGAGTATTTGAAGGGGAATGTTTGCTTCCTCAATTCTTGAACTGTCTGCATAAGGCGTAAAAACGAAAAGAAAGAAAAATGCCCAGTGCTGTTTTGAGAAAAACCAAACTGGCTAAGGCCCAGCAAAGCCAATCCAGAAGTAGAGATCCATCTATTTCAGTAATCTTTAATGCCATTAATTGCATTCTAGTTTGAAAATAAAATGCAAATGCCAGCTACCTATCTAGATAAAGTAACAGTTGATTAGAAATAATAGTATAAAAATAAAGAATAACTATGCAGAGCAGTTGGCTGGTTTATTTAAGCTGCCACATAATCATTGACACCGTATCGGGGCAAATCTTCTGGCTTGATATACAAAAGTTCCCAAAACATCAAAGTAATATTATTGTTAGTGTCTACAAGCTCACTGTACTTGACAACAAGTGGGGATCCCTCGGAATTAACAAGCCCTTCTCCCTTATCAACAAACTTGGTAAATTCATCCTCTACTCTTTGCTGGTCCTCTTTAGCGAAGGATTGGTAGTAGAGACAGTCTCCAGTCTCGAGGTTTACTAGAAGCTCAGAGCCTTTCTTATCGTATATAACCTTATAGATATATCCAAAATCAAGAATCTGGCATACTTTATCACTGGAATCGAGGTATGTGTTGGTATACGTCTTTCCATTAACAATATTCTTGGCAGTAATCATACTCTTGGCAGAGCCGTGTTTTCCGGGCTTGGAAATATTGATGTCTGTCACTTTGTAGAACGAAGATGTTTCGCCAGCAGGAATGAAGACAGATCCCACCTTGAGATCTCTTCCGTTCACAAAGTCAGTTTTCATAGGCATTTTGAGGGTGAAAAATTTTACAATTGAAAGTAAAGAAAACAAATATTGAATATCAGCAAGCTTTATTTTGTTTATAGCTTTGAGTGTGTGCACTTAGTTGGCTGTAGAAATTCATTGTAGCTAGTTTGTCGTCGTCTTTGTCTAGATAAATTCTAATAGGCAGGACATTACTAATTTTATACACTATTTATAGCAAATATATTAATGACATTTTGACAGTTTGAAAGTTAATTATGAACATCGTATCACTTTCAACCTTTTGAGGCTAACGATTTAAGTAGTATGTTGTGTGACAGTCTTTATGTACCTTTGAGTATAGTATTCCCAGTAATCCTGGTGTTGGATTGGCTATTGTTTCTACTGGTCAATTTTTCTCTGTAAATAAAATTTTTGAACAAAGCCTTAGAAAGGAGACCCGATGAAGTTAAAAGAAGTACTGCAAAAGAATCCAACCATTGTTGTTACAAAAGAGAACTGCCCGTTCTGTGACACAGCTAAGAACACACTCGACAAAAAAAAGGTGAAGTATTTGGAAATTGATGGAATGAAGAACCAAGATCTTGTGCAAGAAATTGTGCAAAAGGAAAAGCACAAAACTTTTCCGATGATTTATTTGAATGGGAAATTCATTGGAGGAAATGATAAATTACAAGAGTATTACAGAGACCTTGAAAGCAACAAGGAGAATCTAAATGAAAATGCACTTTAAAGTAATAAATACTTTGATATAGGCAATTTAGGGGAAACAGGCTTGCAGGCCTGTGCATATCTGCTAATAGTTTATTGATTGATTTTCTTTTCTATTTGGGGTGATGCTTTACTTCTTTTAATATTTCTATGAAAATTGAATGTTTCTTATTGAGTAATTTGATGTCATTTATGCTTGACATGCATAAATCAATCACAGATCTAATGTAAATGCCTCCTTTAACAATCTGTTTCTCCTTTTTAATATTTAAGGAAAATTCTACTTTCATTTATGTTTATCAATCTGATATTGATAGTACAGCTATTTCAGAAATCAAAATGCACCATGGCCGATACGAGACAGCCCGAGACTATCACGTTTGAGACTATCAAAGTACCACAGGAATTTTTGCATGGTGAGATTGATGATGCAACCCAGAGATTAAACATGCTAATGGATCCTACAAACACAGAGCCTAACCCTTTAGACCAATATATCCTTGAGGACGAAGTAGATCTTATGAGGCTTCAATTAACGACGCTTGGGCGTATGCAGATACAGCACTGGACAGGTGTTAGGAAGGATGATTTGACTAACTTTTTTGGATCTCTGAATCTTTTCACGATGAATTTAATAAGGAAATACGATTTAAAGCTAGATGCAGAGACCATTGCAGACGTGATAAATTTCGGGAATATCGACATGCTAATTCTTTGCAATGCAGCCAGCATGATGGCCGATAATCACGAAAATATAATTAAGAACGGATTGCACAAAGCAGAGCCGTCACCAGAACAGTTCAAGGAATATATGAAAGGGGTCACAGCACTTTTATGCACATCAGCAGTTCTAAAGAACCCAAGGGCATACGAAAGCAGTAATCTCACACCTGTTGGTAACAATCTCTTAAATCCTGGATATATGCTTTACAATCTTTGGCGTCGCCAGGCAAATCCACCTGTGTGGGCAAATAACCCTAACGGAGACACCTCATCGGACGACTCAGGACTTGATGATGAATAGAAAAAACTTACTGGAAGGGATTATTAAAAGACTATTTTCATATTTATTTTAGTATAGAGCAAGCAATAAGTCCTTGCACATTTAGTTAGAGCAACGTGTGTTCTATTTTATTACATTTTAACATCAAATCAATATTAGCACGCTGTACTTCTTAATCAGATTGATGCTATTTCTTGTCAGGGTCTACTTTAAGTGCAACAGACAAGACAATGAGCCATGCATTTACTGAGCTTTGTCATTCTCTATTTTCACTGTTCTCACGGATAAAACGTCTTTGAAAGTTTTATTGATTCTGAGATTTGAAAACACTGTTTATTCAGGCTCATTCTCACAATCCTTGCTTAGTCTCACCTTCAAATACTTTTTCATAGCACAGGGGCACTATTTCTGGATACTTCATTTTCTTTTCAATGCTCTTTCTAACTTCAATGGCCTTTTTTATTTGCTCTCCACAATGTGTCTTGTAAAAATCACCGTTCTGACTGTAGAATATTCCATACTCAACATATCCCCGGACATAGCCTTCTTTAATTGTCTTATGAATCAAATAATCAACGTCAACACCAAGTATTTTACTGATATCATCTACCCTGATTCTGGAGTAACAGACTGTTATCTTCCTAAGCCCTTCTTGAACAAGATTCTGTACCAGTCTTCTAACCACAAAATATAGATTCATCTTAAAGTACTCATCACGATGCTCTTCAATAAGCTTGTAGAATGTTTCAATATCTCCTCTCTTTACACATCCAATAAGAGAGAAGTAAGGTTTCAGCTCTTCTTCATAGGGATAGAATACCGAATAATCACTGAGCAACAACTTGCAAACAATGGTGTACTTCTTAATATACAGCTCCATTTTCTTACTATTATTAAGGATATCACTTTCATCAAAGTGTTTCAGGGCTGTGACGTACTCGCCCCACACTAAATGGATTATCCCAAGATAGAAACAGTACTTGCATCTCTCTTCAGAGTCGGAAACATTATCCTCAAGAACCGTATAGATGTGGTTGTTAATCTGACTATCCAGAATAGCATTAGTAGCTACGGCTATGGAATATTCATTTCCATATTCCTTGTTGGTACTCAAAATAGTGTACAAATGATCGATGGGCTTTCCTAAGAATTTAAGACTCTGATAGTAATACTTTATAAGCTTTCCATTGAAGTAATCAAGATGTCTATCTTGCCCTAGCAAGTCAATCTCACACAGTAGATTGTAGATGTCCTGGAATCTATGGAGCATAAACCAAGACCCAACCAGGAGAGGAGCAATGCATAAGAAATACTTTGGGTTTTCCCTCATGAGCTTCTCAATAGCTTCAGGATCTTCTGTTCTTATGATAGCATTGTAGCTGTCCTTATACTCTTGCACAAGAACATCGTCGTATTCCAAGCCCTCTAAGTTTGCAGCAAGCTCAGCAAGAGATCTCATTTGAGGGCTGAATAGAAAATCAAACAAAAATAAAGAAAATAGCAAACAGTTGCACCATTTAAACACCGAGCAGTATATTTGATTTCTGGATATTTTATAAATAAATACATGCCAATGCAGTGTGTATCGCTTTTTTTGACTTGACATAATCTTTGATCTATACAAGCTCGATATTAACCATTCTAGTTCCATATCAACTAGCAGTAAGCTTCATCCATTATTGTTCTCTATTGCCAATGCTAGTCGCCAGAACAAGATATTCTGGCATCAAAGAATATCAGATTTGGTCTGCAATCTTCAGTATTCATAAAAGACCCTTTGGAGCTATCAAGACTATATCTATGCCAATTTTGTTGTACACCCATGCCTATCTCCATAATCATAGCAATCCTTTGTGTCATAGTTGCGTATATGGCTTTCTTAGTTATGCGGCCAAAGGACGTCAGAATATGCTTTGTAGGCCCACACTCTACTGGCAAGACTGTTTCCCTACTAAGCCTGCTTGGCCTTGATAACAAGACAGTCACCACACTGGCCAGCCATAGAGTTATTTACAAAAACAAAGAGATATTTGAACTTGTGCCCGACGAAAGCAACAGGGACTTTGTGGATAAGTACCAATTGAATCCCAATGACAAATTTGTATTTTTTGTTAAGAATGAAGAGGAAATTGACTCTTTCCCCGATTGCTCAGGCTTTGACATAGTCTTTGTAATGTGGAAGAAGACAAAGGATAAGAAGAGGAAAGACTTGATATATTTGGACGAATCAAGAGAGAAGCTGAAGGATTTAATACTAAAGATGTAAAAACTAAACAGAAAAATCATTTAACAAGTGGCTCTTCAACATACTTGGCTCAACACAAATAAATATTATAGTACATGTATCGTATCAGATATGACACTTGTTTTGTCGACCAAGCAGCCTTTGGTGAACTTCCATTAGTACCACAATCTTGATCTATACACATATAGCTATCTAATTCCACCAAGTTTATTTTTGTGGCTCATCCAATCAGTACAGTTTGCTTATTTCATTAAACATCGAATAAAACTGTACCTTTGAGTTCACCCCTTCATTAATCCTAAGCTGATATTTTCCTATGATTTTCAATAATTCAAAATTGTCCTGATTCTTGGCTATTTTAAATAGCCCATCCAAAATGTCTGTGCTTTCAAACTTAAGATTCCAGAGACTGTGAAATGTTTCAAGTGCCTTTTCCATTTCTTTCGTCTCGATTGAGCTGATAATGCTCTCAAGAATTTTAACATTTGGAATACCGTTCAGCTTGTAAATAAAATCATCATCTACCACTCTTTTTACAGACGAGATGCCTTGCAGGCATCCAAGACTAGCCCGAATATCCCCATAGCTAACATTCATCACTGCATCAAGACCATCGTCTGTGATTTTAATATTTTCCGCATCACATATTTCTCTCAGTCTGTGCTTGAATTCAGAGGATGGTATTCTTTCAAATTTCAAAACCGCACATCTGCTTTGTATCGGTTCAATAATCTGCGATATTTGGTTGCATATCAAAATAAACTTGGTGTCTGTTATCTCCATCAATCTTCTTAGGGCTTGCTGGGCTTGCGCTGTGAGATGGTCGCATTCGTCGAGAATTACAAGTTTTTTTGGGACATTTTTGTGGCAAAAGCTCTTCAAGGTCGTTCTAATAGTGTCTATTCCTCTCTCGTCGGAGGCATTCAATTCAAGAGTTTCAAAGCTCGGTCTCATAAGATGTGCAAGTGTTGTTTTACCTGTTCCAGGAGGGCCTGTGAAGAGTAGGTGTGGAAAATCATCCTTTATGTCTTTTATTACCTGAATTACATCCTGATTTCCCAGGACGTCTTCAATCGTTTTCGGGGAGTATTTGTCTACAAACAGCATATGAGTTAGGATGGGTTGAAAAAAGCTAGATTAAGAAAAGCTGAATAAAGAAACTTAAGCACATAAAGCTTTAATGATAGGAAAGACAAAAGTATTGGCTTTGAGGTCCATTCCATGGCAAGCAATAAGCTCGGTAAGCAGTTTTGTTTTTGCGAGGCAGCTGAAGTGGTAGCAACCGAAAGGACAATAAGACTGCAATATTAAAAAGAGTCAGAGGCTTAGGCAGACTACTATTTTGCAATTTCCTGCGCGTTTTTTGTTTTTTAGAAAATGTCAAATCAGAATGATAGTTTTGTATAGTGCCCCAGTGTTGGCTGCTGTTCATTACTAGTAATACTGCATATACAAATTTATAGCCCAGTTCTATAGAACTTTGAAATTCCTTCGAATTAATCTTTTGTCACATCCATGAATCGGGCAATATTGAGTCTTGTCTTTCTTCATGTAATCAATAATATAGGCTTCTTCAAACACATGTCCACATTCACCCATCCATGGATTCTTAATTGGGCCCTGTGATAATGGACATATCATATTCTCTTTGAACCCCACAACATCAACTTGTGAAGCATACTTGTCTATTATTGCATCGATATTTGGCTTGATGCTCCTTGGAGCAACTATTTTCTGTGGCATCGCGGCAAGAGCTTGGTGGATGCTTATCTTTTTGAGTAAGGTTTCCGGTGGTTGCTCTACTGTTTTGAATAAATCCGAGAGGATTTTCTCTAAGATAGCAGCTCTCTCTTTCATTGCATTTTCCATTTCAGGAAAAGAAAAGTTTCCAAATACATAAAATCTTCAAGAAAAAGCCCTCAAGTAGGGCGGGATGGAAAACCTGGTTTCGTTGGCAAGCCATACTTATTTGCCGCATTTGCTGTATTAGCAGTAGTACTAGGCATCATCTTTCATTATATCAAGTTTTTGAACCCAATAAAATCTTTAAATCCTTCAATGCCACCCTCCGAGCTATAGGCTTCTATTCCGCTATTGATGAGGAAATCAGCTGCTTTTCTTGAACTCTTGCCCTTGTAGCACGACACAATCACTGGCTTGTAAAACTGCTTTATTCTTTCAACATTCTTTTCTATCTCTGGAATGTTAACGGATCCTGCCACTCTAAACATCTGAAAATGGTCAGTAGTTCTAATATCAACCATCACATAGTCTTTGATGTGTTCTATAATTCTATCCCAAGGCATGATTCCCGCCCGGAATATGTTACTCGTTCCACATGACATTGGCAAAATCTCCCCCATTCTTCCTGTTTCGCACACCGTACAAAACTTATAGCATTTTTTGAAAGTTTTAAAGAGATTTAAAATTCCATTAAAAACAATAAAAGTGCCAAGGTTCTCTGGATCGGAAGAGCTACTATTACATGAACTGGGAGGTGCATTATTTTCTAATATCAGCTTTACAATCTCATTGGCCTGCAAGCTACCAACAATTCCACACACGGGACCCATTACTCCACTCATGTCACAAGACGATGCTGTTGTTTTCATTTCAGGAAACATACAACGGTAGCACGCACCTCCTCTTCTCACAACACAGATTTGGCCTTCCCATCTTAAAACAGATGCCGATACAAGATCCTTGCCTAGCACTCTACAAGCATCGTTAATCGAATATCTCAACTGTACGTTGTCGCAGCAATCAGCTATCACATCATAGTCCCTCAGGATTTTCATTATGTTTTCATTGCTTAGCTGTACATTGTGCTCAATGATATTAATCGACGAGTTTAATTTAGCTATAAATTCACGAGCACTAGTAGTCTTGAATTCACCCACATTTTCTTCAGTATGAATGATTTGTCTCTGGAGATTGTGCAATTCAACCCTATCATAGTCAACAATTCCTATTGTTTTTATACCGGTTGTAGCCAAGTACATCAGCACAGGAGAGCCAAGACCGCCCAATCCAACTACCAAAACTTTTGCCTTGTCCAAAGCTTTCTGGCCACTTATCTTTATTTTTGGAAGGATAATCTGACGCGAGTATCGCTTAACATCGTCTAGAGGCAAGTCTGATTCCCAAAGCTTCATGTCTTCCTTTGTATTGTTCGTCCTCTCACTCTTTATTTCGGCATTCTTCATTTTCATGTTTTCCATGTTCTTGTGCAATAGTGGGGAAGCAAGTGTGCTAGATATATTTAACTGGAATAAACCATACACATGTATAGCATCCAGGGAGGCCTAGACGTAGACAAATGTGTTAAATAAATTAGTATCTTCTTTCGTCCCTTAAAATGGCAGTGGTTCTGGCAAATACAACATCACCGAAATTATTGAACTACGGCAAACATCAGATAAAGCCATCGTTTGCCACTGTTTTATACACTGTAGATGGTACTCTCAATGTCTGTTCCAAATGTATTGCCATGTTTCCTACTCTTCATTCACTTGAGAACCACATGGAAAGATGCACCATTCCATACAAGCCAATCTACGAGGAAGACACCTTTAAGGTTTCCAAGATAGAGGCCCTCAAAAACAAACAGCTACTTTCAATGATTTCGCAAATGTTTATAAAGAGTAAGACAGTGTACTTTGAGGTCGACAAGTACGACTTTTTCATAATTTATGACCAGGAAATTATTGGGTATTTTAGTAGGTACAAGAACGGTAGACACTCATTAAACTGTTTTCTTGTATTTTCCTGCTTTCAAAAACAAGGTTGGGGAACAGTACTCATGGACTTTAGTACAATACCAGCAGTACGTATCACCAGCCAGGGTAACAATAACGACATTAAGCAGGCCAGTGCAAAGGGCGATACCGTTGACTTATCCAATGTTGTTTATGATCCCAAACCCCCTGAAAAACCTTACACAAAAAAGGCAATATTGTGCTTTCGGAAGTATTGGAAATATAAAGTGATTGGAGCCCAGACAGTTGCTGAGATTTCTAGAAAAAGCAACCTCACACTTGATGAGACTGTTGTTGGTCTTGAGCTGAATGGATTTAACTTTAAAAAATGGAAAATTGAAGGGGAAATAGGAGTCGAAAAGCCAAGACTTTTGTCAAAGAAAGTATACAAAAAATCCCTGGCTCAAAATTAAAACTAGCAAACTACTGCAATGCTTAGTAAATACAGCATTTTTCATTTACGGTTGTCTTTTAAAATTTAATTTTTAGGTATGCATGTTTCATGACAAGCCAATGCAAAATCCTGCATTTTTATACGAGCCATTGGTGTTTCAAGCATGGGTTTTGTAAAATACTGTCCACAAAAGTCGCAAGGTCTGCTGTCATAGTCCCAAAGCATGTTTATTTGATCCTCAATACTTTCTAATTTTCTGTTCACAAAGAGCCTAGCAAATTCAGAGTGCAAATCGTCCACATCAATAACTAGTCCATCGTATACCGAAACGGTGATGCCCTGTATTTCAATTCTCCGAATACCACTATCTTCCTCGAGCTCCCTTGGTGCTTCCTTTTTCTCTAGTTCTTCTTTTTGAAGACTTGGCACAGGCTTTATTTCAAAACTATTTAGTCAGCAACAAAAAACTTACATGAGATCATTTACTTTAGCTTCTAGATCTAAAGAGTCCAAAGCACCTTTAAATTCAATTAGCTTTTGTGCAAAATTTGAACATCTTTCCAGCCTGTAGTCCAAAAGACTAGTTTGGATCATAGTTTGGGTAAAGCTCTAGAAAAACTAAATACTTAGCAGGATGGTACTTAAATATAGGTTTATTGTCAATATTACACTGGATAACATCCAGCCTCGCTAGCAAGGTTGGTTATTCCCATAGCCTTAGCCATTGACTTATATAAGGTGTATCTCTTCTTTGCCTGATCAGTTCCACTGCCTCCGCATTCTATTGCACCATTAATAGCTTTGGTTGTTGATCCAAACTGTTTTTTATCTTTAACACCTGGGGCTGTCATTACTTTTTTATCCCAGAACCACTCTGATACCTTAACGGCTATGTCTACATCTTGTGCTACCAAGTCTGGATTTTGATATAATTTGTCACCCATTCCCAAGTCCTGTGATGCGCTTTTGTAGTTATCAGGCCAGCTGAGCTGGATAAATCCACGGCCATAGTATGACTTTCCTGGCGCACCTGTTCCGTACTGGCCGGGACATTTAGTGTCCTTGCAAGCTATTTCTTCGATATACACATAACCACCTGATTCGTGAGCAAGTTGTGCCAAATACATGGCTAGAAAGTCTTTATCTTTGAAGTGAGTATTTGCAGACTTAACAACAGCATCCAGATATTTAGAGTTTGGATTCATGCCATTTTCTTTTAATGCAGATGTGACTTGTTCTGATGTTACCATTTGGCCACCAGCACCGGGCTTAGAGTCAGAGCCTGAAGAGCTGCTGGGACTTTGCTGAGAACTAGATTTAGCATCTGTAGATGGCTGGCTAGATTGACCTGGACTTGAGGACGGTTGACTAGGGCTAGGCGCAGGTGGTTGACCAGAACTCGGACTAGGACTTGGTTGGCTAGGCGCAGGTGGTTGACCAGAACTCGGACTAGGACTTGGTTGGCTAGGCGCAGGTGGTTGACCAGAACTCGGACTAGGACTTGGTTGGCTAGGCGCAGGTGGTTGACCAGAACTCGGACTAGGACTTGGTTGGCTAGGCGCAGGTGATTGACCAGAACTCGGGCTGGGACTAGGTGTAGGGGTGCTGGAACTCGATGCTGTGCCCGATGGTGGCTGAGAAGTCGTACCTGCAGATGGCGGCATATTGGCTGGTAATGAGCTTGAGCCTGATGAATCTGGCTGTGTTGACATTTGTTTTGCAGATGTGGTGCCTGAAACATTATTTACGGATGGGTTTTGTTGCATTGTGCTTGGGCTAGATGATGCAACTTGTGCAATATTTGGTGCACCACCCTGCCCTCCACTTAAGATTATAGAATATGACACTTCTTTGCCTGTTGATGCACCCTGTTCTACTTCAAAGTCAATTTCCTTGGGTTGTTTAGTTACAGTTTTTACCGACTGTGAGGATTTTTTCCTAATTTTGCTTGGCTTTTCATCATCATCTATTTCATCACTGAGCCTCTTCGTAACTGTCACTGTCCTTGGACCCGATCTTCTTCTACCTTTCTTAACCTCAAGAGGCTTATCAATAGACACAGCATCCTCTGAATCTTCCACCTTCTTACAAGAAATCGAGCCGCTATTTGTTGAGCAGCTAGAGTCGGTTGGGCACTCGGTTTCTGACCAGTATCCCTCATCAGTGCATACTCTCATGACATTTCCCGCACACTCAGTCGCACCCTTTTTACAATTAAAGGCAAATCCAGTTCCAAGATATATTAGTGCTGAAATGAAAATATGCAAATCAACCAGCATTCTTTTGATATTCATTATTCCTGAGACATTTTACTACTGAAAAGAGCAATCTCAAACAACTGTTTCATTGTCTAAATCGACATAAGTTGCTTGCAAGAGCCCATTTTCAATCAGGATATATCTGCTATTGTAGCTGTCTGTATTAGCTGATTTTTTCAAGCCCCATGAAAGTGTTTTCAAAAAATAGAAGAAGTGTCCCAGAGACAAGGAAGAAATATGGTAAGCCAGAAACGAAGAAGGAAGCACTAGAAAGACTTAAAAAAGAAAGAGAGTCTAGGGAGGCAAGAGCAACCATGATAAGGGAAATTCAGTCTAGAAACAAGGATGAGTTTTATTTTTCGTTTTATTCTCTGGACAAGAATATGATCAAAAGGACAGTTATTACTCAAGATGAATTAACAAAGATACTCAAGTACATAGACAGCGAAATCTTACGGTGTGAGAGAATTTTGGAAGATATGGTCAGACCAAAATCGAGGAATATGCACATAAAATTTACTGGAGACAAAGCGATTGCAGAGATTAATGAGGATCCAATGGTTATTTCCACAGGTGGTGAATATGAAAAATACATTCAAAACCTTATAGAAAAACGAAAGGAGGTTGTCGAAAAATTGAGAAAATTGAAAAACAACTAAAATCAAATAACAAATACGGGCAAATTAGTCTTCAGAAACTTTGGTCTGCATGAATTTTGCTGTAAAAAACGTCAAGCAGATGTATGCTTTGCTATTGTGCTATAAACACTTCTATTCGTGACGTTTAAAATGCAATGGCCAGCTTTGCAATAATTCTAACGACTGTGTTTCAATAGTTTGTCAAACATGTTTAAATAAC